TAATATGGCTGTGCAATCCATTGATGCTAGTGTCCGTACTATAGATCTCATCTCCATTCTTCCTGGAAGACGGAAGGACTGGTTGCCCTATCTGAGAGTTCAGTGGTAGGGAACAGGTGGCCAGTCTCAGATCATTGTGCTTGAGTTTACTCAGTCCCTCTGCTTGTGGTTTCGTACCCTTACCCCAAGTGTCCATAGTTTCCAAGTCAGAGACCTCTTTCAAAATGCAAGCTTCTGGGCTGGACATGGTGGCACACGCTGCTTATGCCAGCACTTGGGAGGCTGTTGCAGAAGGCTCATGAATTTAAGACCTGCCTGGGCTACATAGCCAGATCCTGTCTTAAAAAACCAAAGGAGAAGGGAAGTAAGCTTCCTGCTGGATGGGGAAGGAGTGATTTTCCTAAGGCATGGTAGAGAGTATGGGATTGATGCTTGACAAAAATCGTGCAACTAGTGCTTATTTTACTTCCATCCCCTTCCTTGTTCTCTCAGAAGAATCTGTGCCACTGATTTGCAAGCTTGTTGAAGTTTTGCAATATAAATGGAGTTGGTTTTCTTGTGTGTTGATTCTACTTTCTAGTTTCATTTGGCTTTTATTTTCTTTTCCCAAACCTTATAGATTTTGCCCTTTGAAAGATGAAAAAAAATTCCCTTGTACTTTTAGCTGTTTTAGCACATGCGTGTATCTGTTGTATCCGATCAGAGTCCACATTGCAGCTGACTGTGACCCAGGGTGACTGTGACCAGGGTGGCCTCATTTAACCTGGTCATATCTATAAAGACCTTGTTTCCAAATAAGGTCATTTTAAAAAAGCCAACCATCCTACTACTACTACTATATGTTCAAAAATAGTTGCTTGTCACTGTTACTAATATTTAGTAGTATTGATGTTTGAACTCCGGGCCTCATGCTTGTCAGGCAGGTATTTTGTCACTTGAGCCACTCTGCTGCAAATAAGGCCATTCTGAGGTAGTTGAGGAAGTGGAGGGGATAGTGGCCAATACTCCAGTGTGTCTTTGTGGGTGGGCACGCTTCAGCCAGTGCCAGTAATAGATAGTGACCCAGCAGTTATCTCCCTAGCAAACCATTATTCATCATGAGGAGCATTCATGATTTACCTCCTTACAGTTTTTGACTAACAAAAAGGTACGTAGTTTTATGAGTCATGTATAAGATTTTAAGGAATCCTAGACATAGAGCATAGTGCAACAACAAATAGAGGTAAAACAACTTAGGTAGGATATTGAGGAATTGAATCCAGCAGGTGTCTGAGTATTTTGATTGTTTTATCCCAGGAATCCAAGGCTGCTTCGACTTTAGAAAATCTGTTGTAATTATTACCACTAAGAAATTAAAGGAGAAAAGTACACATCTCAATAAGTAGATGTGTAAATTTATTAAAGTTTATTGCTCATGCTGATGGAACCTTTTACAAACTGTTTATAGAGGTTCCATGATATGACCAGTCACCTTACTATTATTACCCCTACTGTTCAACTTTGTGCTGAGACCTTAGTTAATCTAGGTTGACCAGGGCAAACCAATGAAGCAAAAGTGTGAGTAAAAGAAGGATTAAACTCACTTTGGTGGTTGTTGTGACTATTCACATAGAACATCCAAGAGAATCTGCAAGTAAATTATTAAACACTGTTAGATCTGCAGATATTTTATTTAGCTCCTTTGCATCTACTTATAAGTTGTATTGTTGTAAAATGAGCAAGTCTGTTGTAATCAACAAACAAAAGTTAGTAATAGTCCTGTATACCTGTAAGAACCAATTAGGAAATGTCATAGAAACAGCATAAAGATAACATTCATTCAAGTGATAGAAAGAGAAGTTGTTTTACCAGAATATACAGGGAACTTAAAAAACTAAATTCTCCCAAAACTAATGAACCAATAAAGAAATGGGCATGTGAACTAAACAGAACTTTCTCAAAGAAGAATTCAAATGGCCAGAAAACACATGAAAAAATGCCCTACCATCTCTAGCAATAAATGGAAATGCAAATTAAAACCACACTAAGATCCACCTCACCCCTGTAGAATAGCCATCATCAGCAACACCACCAACAACAGGTGTTGGCGAGGATGCGGGGAAAAAGAGAACCCCTACTTACACTGTTGGTGGGAATGTAGACTAGTACAACCACCTGGAAAAAAATTTGGAGGCGACTTAAAAAGCTGGACATCGATCTACCATTTGATCCAGCAATACCACTCTTGGGGATATACCCAAAGACGTTCACTCCAGAGGCACTGCACATCCATGTTTATTGCGGCACTTCACAAAGCCAAGTTATGGAAACAGCCAAGATGCCCAGCACTGACGAATGGATTAAGAAAATGTGGTATCTAATGCACAATGGAATTTTATGCAGCCATGAAGAAGAACGAAATTGTTATCATTCGCTGGTAAATGGATGAATTGAGAACATCATTCTGAGTGAGGTTAGCCTGGCTCAAAAGACCAAAAAATCGTATGTTCTCCCTATATGTGGACATTAGATCAAGGGCAAACACAACAAGGGGATTGGACTATGAGCACAGATAAAAGCGAGAGCACACAAGGGAGGGGTGAGGATAGGTAAGACACCTAAAAAACTAGCTAGCATTTGTTGCCCTTAATCAGGAGAAACTAAAGCAGATACCTTAAAGCAACTGAGGCCAATAGGAAAAGGGACCAGGAACTAGAGAAAAGTTAGATTAAAAAGAATAACTAGAAGGTAACACCCATTGCACAGGAATCAATGTGAGTCAATGCCCTGTCATAGCTATCCTTATCTCAACAGCAAAACCCCTTGTTCCTTCCTATTATTGCCTATACTCTCTCTACAACAAAATTAGAGATAAGGGCAAATAGTTTCTGCTGGTATTGAGGGGGGGGAGCGGAGGGGTGGAGTGGGTGGTAAGGGAGGGGGTGGGGGCAGGGGGGAGAAATAAACCAAGCCTTGTATGCACATATGAATAATAAAAGAAAAAAAAAAAAAAGAGAAGTTGTTTTAGAAGAATGTCTAATCAGGAATCTAGAAAACTTGTCTAGAGGGAATTAGGTGTGAAAAGATTGGAAATAGCCATATTTCTTGTATATATATTTTGATTTTATGCTGTATTGCCAAAATGCTTTTCAGATACTACCACCTATAGTAAATTTTTTTCTCATATATCCATACCAAAACTTTTATTCCAGTATAGTCTAGTGGATGACTCTTACAGATACATTTGCCTTCTTATAAGTGATTTGTAAGATTTATTTATGTTCGGGTTTCTTTGTCTCATATTTTATAAATGACTGCTTCAAAACTGTCATGTTTTGTTACTAACTTTATAGTGCTCAGTGTCATATAGAAATACAAAAGTTTGATTTTGTGAAATGCATCAACAAGTTTGTGGTTTGGTGTATAATTTAAGAAATGTTTATGTGCCTTGAAATTGTAGCTGTAGTTTAAGATACAAATACCAAAAAAAAGGCATAAAGATATTTGAGTAACATGTAGAATTATTTTATCCTTTTGGTATGGTACAAACCTTCTAAATATGATTCAAAAAACAGGCTTAACACAAAAGATGTACTCAACTGTGTAAATATTTAACAACTTCTGTATGCATGTGTGAGTATGTTTTAATGTTGACAAATACATATATATGTGTATATTTGTAACATTTGATGGGAGGCTGCTGTTCACCAAATATTGTATCCTATAAGACAACCACACTAGAGAAAATGATATAACAGGCTACTAGTAAAATGAAAGTATGAATGTCCAAAAGTTATTATGAAGATTCTCAATGTCACTAGTAAGTGTTAATGAAAGATATCTCTTAGATTACCCAGGAGCAGAAATATGACACACTGGTGAGACTGATGGAGGCACGAAAGTGGGAGCCATGGGTGAGGGCAGCCAATTCCTCTTTACCTCTTTAGACTGGAGTGCTATTAAAAGCAGCGCTACACACATGAATACATAGCTGAGTCAGCAATACACTGTTGAAACTTCATCCCAAGGAAAAATACAAGTCTCATAGAAAAGTGGACAAGGAAACACATTGCATGGTGCTAGGAAAGACCAAGAAAAGCAAATATCATCCAGGAGAGAGCTGGCAAATTGAGTACATCAAAGTGTATTTGCATGTACAATAACCATTTAGAAAGGTAATAAAAAAAACAAGTGGTTTTTGACAGATGGTGGGATTACAAGAGAACCAGCACTTTTTACTTTATAGATTTCAGTGTGTGGATTTTTATCTAAGCATAACTGAAGAAAATGTAGATTACCATAAGTGAAATTACTATAATTATCAAAATCAGTTGGTTCATATAGAAAAAAGACCCTTTAGAGATACTTAGTGAAAATTGAGCACATTCTGGATATTATGGGATGATTATTTGTATTGGGTGTGAAAAGCTAATGAGATTATGTTTAAAAATACATTGTTTCTGAAGTATTTACTGATGAAAAAAGGTGACATAGGTTAAAGAAAAGAAAAAAATCTTATTCAATCTTAGGAACATTTAAACAGTGTGACAATGTTTTAATTTTCAAGTTTACAACAATTTCGAGCTGAATTTATGGTTGGTCCCTAAATTGTTATGTAGATCCTTATAAAATGAAGTTTTTTCATTAATCTTGGCCCCATTGCATTATTCCTACTTACCTTCCCCATCTTATCTGAGCTTTTATTTTGCTGGGTTTTAATAGTTGATATGTCATTTTGGATAATTGTAAATTGCTTTAGAAACAGTATAGGATGAAGATTGATGATTAATAGTCACGTGTACTGAACACTGTGATTCAGTGCATATCACAAAAGCGTCTTCACAGTTTAGTCTGATAAAGAGGTTCAGGGGGAGAACATCGTTGCGTGTGTTTATATACAATAGTATTGATAGGTTCACGTATTTCTTTGTTTTATAATACCTACTGTTACAGAACATAATTATACTTAAATTACATGTGATAAAAATATAAATAGGTTAACTGTAACTTTTTTCTTTCAGAATTTAAATGAATATGTTGAAGCATTAATTACCTTGAAGCAAAAAATTATCAATACAGAGTAAGTATATTTGCATGTCTTTAGCAGAATTTTGTAAGCCTGATCAACTGGCTGAAGCAAATGGTGGATTGAGGCCCCTGGGGTTGTCCTATGTGGTACCTGTTAGGAAAAACCCTGTGGGTCCTGATAGCAACCTGAACTTTGGTTAGTAACTTTGTTAAAGTGACCTTTAAATAAAGCTCCTGGGTTAGTATAAAGTTACTTTTGCTAAATTGCAACTTTTTAAAACCTGTCTTCGAAACTTTATGCTGTAGCCAAATTATCCCAAATAGTTTACAACCATGATGTGAGATTTAATTTGTTTTAATTCTGTAATAGTCTCAGGAATAAGCCAAGGTAGACTAAAGGGGTTGCAAACTGAAATCTCATGTCTCAGTGCGATGCTTTTGAGGAATTTAAGATGATATATATTGATTTATTGTACTTTTGTTTTTGGAAACCTAGGAAGTGGGATTGCCTTGAGTGATTTGAAACATGATTTTAACATAGTATATTTTTAAAATGACAAGTTGCCTAATCCTTCTTTTCTTTATTACAGTAATTTGTTAACAGAATATCAGAAGAAATGTGATGATATCCTTTTACTGGCTTTTTTTTTTTTTTGAATTTTAAGATTTGTTTATGTATAATACCTAAAAGAGGTGTGAGGAATTTTTCAATCATCTTTTAGAAGGCAACATGTTACTCGAGTAAGGGGTGTCTCTCACAAGCACACTGAGACAGTCCTTTCTGTTAGTCGATGAGCTCTCTAACATGGGAGATTTAGCACTGTTTTGTTTCTGTCATGGTTCTGATTTTCTTTATGCAGAAGGGTAGGTCTCCTCATTTGTGCTTGAGGATGTGGCACTTCAGGATGTGTTCTTTAGGCTTAGGAATAATTGTAGCTGTAATGGTACATTCTGAATGTTACTTTTGAATCTGTACATTCAAAATGTTGGCAAATCGACTTACTCATTATTTTTGTGATCTGTAGATGTTACTGTGTATATCCCAAATCAGAAACAAGGTACTTTTCTATGCATTAACAGAGTCTTCCACATTCAGCAGACATATTTTGGGGCTGGGAATCATCATGTGCACAATAAGTACTGAATGTGCACCAGTTGTGTAGTTAGCCCTGGTTAAATATTTTCTTAGTAGTGAGCAAAAGGTATGTGTAACTAATCCTTCCAGATCTCTTGGTGCTAAAGCTTAACTTAAATCTCTCCCATAAAATAAAAAATTTCTCCCATGAAATAAACACATGTGTGCCTGGTTGAGATTCTTGGAAGGAAATCCAGCTTTATTTTCTGTGTTGGGATAGATCCTGTTGTCCCAGCAGCTGAACAAGTTACTTTGATAGTAACTTGAGGCCTTTCATATTAGTTCTGGCATACCTGAACTTGTATGTGATAGCCACTTTATTTATTTGTGCTCATACCTAATTTGAGTGATTAGCATCATAAAATCAAGATGTGAATTTTCACATGAAAAATTGAAAATTTTTGTGTCATTGAAAATTTATGTGTGTGTTGCTTCTTCAGACTGTCAGTTCATTTAAGTATAGATGCATGGCGTTGCAGGAGTCATATTGTTAGCTGATTGTAAAAGCTGTACAGAAACAGTGCAACTACTTTTAGATAGTTTGGTAGGAGAATTGCAGTTCTGATATTAGGAAAGCCATCCAGTGTATCACTTTTGGGGAGTGGTATAAACTTTTTGAGTTGAATGTAATCTAGCAAGGAAAATTTTAGTTTACTTGTCTAACAGTTTTCTACATAATATTTAAATAAGACTCAGAAGAATTCTTTTAAGCAGATTAAACATTCAGTTATTCTTGAATTGTAAAAATTTGTTCTATGATGTAATATTTGGCCTCAGTGTCAGCTATAGATAAATACTCATTTTTTAAAACACATTTGGTATTTGTCCCAAATATGTATTTGTTATCTCTCAAAAATGCAGTAATTTGCTCTACAGTTTGGAGTGTTAGCATTACAGATTTAATGTGGCTTTCATATCTGGTTTGGTGCCTTTTGCTACTAAAGTAGCAGCAGTAGGTTTTCTTAGTTTTTTTTCAAGATGAGAACATTATTCAGTAACTGAAATGATTAAGCATTTCAATTCTTTTTACATTTTTGGTTTAATTCTGACCATTTTATTCTTTAATATCACCTCTTTCTAAAGGCAGAGTGTATTTTTCCATCAGATAATTTTTGAACATTCTGTTTTGCAAAAACTGCTGTAATTTAAGACAAATAAAATTATGGTTCTTGACCTCGAGAAGCTTACATTGAAAGAGATAGGGACATGTTTTCACAGACATGTATGTTCTGTATTGTGATATAAATATGAGTTCCTGGAAGGTGAAACTTAATTATTTTTTATTGTCTTAGAATATTTAATTTAGAATAATGGGGTTGGAAGATGAGGTTATCTTGTGTAAATTGTAAAAACAAAGGCTTATGTAGATTTTACATTCTCTTCATTTGACAAATGAAGGACAGATTTTTGGGGATTCTGACACATATAGAGAAACCAATGTATTTTCTTCTAGTTATATATTTCTTTGTCTTTATCTTGCAATTTAATTCTTATCTATCATGCATTTATTCAAAACTTTTTTTAGAGAAACAGGTATTTTGACTTTGATCAGTATAGTAAGAATAACTTAGTAAAAAAACTTATCACTGTGTTATAGATGGAACCTTGAATAGTATTGTCTAGCATTTATGATCTTGCCTGTACATAGATTAAGGTTATTATTAGTAAAACATTTTTATTTCCAGACAAGTATCACAAGATAAAATTCTTAGTTTTCTTTAATAAGTTTTACAGCTACAGTTTGCAAGAAGGTGAGCTAACTTATTTTCATAGCTGATAATACCACCTCTTTGAGTACTTGATTTGAAATAAGTGTGTCAGGCTAGCATTTCAGACAGATGCTTATAAAACCTACCTAGGATTGATCCTTTATGTAGAATATTGCTTTGATGTTCATAATAAAAAAGATTGATTTGTGTTTTTCTGTCAAATAATTTAGTTTATTGCTTAGACATAATATTAAATTATAGGCTCGTGTTTACTTTTCAGTAGCTTTTAGTGACTACATTACCATCAAGATGAGTGTTAACCACTTTCAGGTTATTGTTGTCTACATGAATCAGACTTTAATATGGTTGTTTATCTTATTTTATTTACTCATTTATTTATTTAGCAGTATTGGAACTTGAACTCTGTCTTGTTCTTGCTAGGCAGGCCCTTGAGCCATACCTCCAGACCATGTATGGTTTTAAACAACTTAAAATAGGCCCACTTATATTCTGATGACATGCATCACTTAGAAGAAGGCAAAATGTGGTTATAATCAAATCACAAAATTGTGTATCACTTAATTGGAATAGATAGGGATTATTTTAGAGTTTGAAGTACTAACTTGTTGACAGATAGTCATTGAACATTTTCTCAGTGTATGGAGTCTATTGTGTTTGTTTCTTAAGTTGATTTTTGATGTACTTTTATGAAAAAAAAGTGTATTATACATAAGAAATATAAAGTTTTAGGAAGTTTATGTTAGTGTAAGTAGAAAGAATACATTTAAGAGTTTTTTCATTCTTGTTTTTGTTCCAAGTTAGAAATCCCAGATAATCAGTGTATATAATTAATAATTCACTCTTACTTTTGTATAACAATGTTAATGTGTTGTCCATTTTTAGAGAGAATAGTACTCTGCATCACCAAGTGGAACAGATGCTTCAAAAAATTTCTCCTCTGCAGAAATGTCAGGAAGAATTAGGATGTTTAAAAGCAGAGCTAGAAGAAAAAAAGGTACCTTCCTACAAACATTTATTATCAATAAAGTAGGATTGGTTCATTCACTGTGTGGAAACTGGGGACTTTTATGTCACAACAAAGGAAATAAATTAGAATTCTTTTAAATGCACCACTATCCTTTGGGAACATTAAACTAGCTGATTATTGGCTTTGCGGTGGTTATTAGCTCTTGCTGTTCAATATTGGGCTCTTTCTTAGGTTTTTTGAGAGGACCAGTAGAAGAAACGTACAGCCAGGAATTTTAATGTGCTCTGCACTAACTCATTGTCACATTTTTCTTGCCTTATATGGGAAATCACATGCAGAAATTTAAACTTAGAGGTAGGGGAATTATTGTAAGTGACAGAGAAGATGGGAGTGAATTTGATTTCTTCATGGTGCTGGTCTAGCCCCAGCCAACCCAACAGTGAATGAAGCATTCACAGTTTCTGTGAGTTAAGATGTCCTTTGAGGCAAACACAACAAGGGGATTGAACTCTGAGCACATGATAAAAGCGAGAGCACACAAGGGAGGTGTGAGGATAGGTAAGACACCTAAAAAATAAGCTAGTATTTGTTGCCCTTAATGCAGAGAAACTAAAGCAGATACCTTAAAAGCAACTGAGGCCAATAGGAAAAGGGGACCAGGAACTGGAGAAAAGGTTAGATCAAAAAGAATTAACCTAGAAGGTAACACACATGCACAGGAAATTAATGTGAGTCAAACTCCCTGTATAGCTATCCTTATCTCAACTAGCAAAACCCTTGTTCCTTCCTGTTATTGCTTATACTCTCTCTTCAACAAAATTAGAGATAAGGGCAAAATAGTTTCTGCCGGGTATTGAGGGGGTGGGGGAGAGAGGGAGGGGGCGGAGTGGGTGGTTAGGGAGGGGGTGGGGGCAGGGGAGAGAAATGACCCAAGCATTGTATGCACATATGAAAAATAAAACAATAAAAAAATAAAAAAGATGTCCTTTGAGGAGCCTGCTCTCATAATTCATCATTAGTCAGTGTTTCCAGCAATATCTGTTAACCTGACAATTTACTTTGATTTTTTTTTCTTTTTTTTGCATTACTGGGTTTTATTAGTTGAGATGGGGTCTTGTAAACTTTTTTGCTGGAACTGTCCTCAAATCAAAATCATCCTGATCGCCACTTCTAAGTACCTAGGATTACAGGCACGAGCCACTGTAGCTGGTCTACTTTGAGCTCTTTTTTTTTTTTTTTTTTAGATCTCTATTTTTTTGGTGATCATGTTTGGTTCTTTGTGATTTCTCATTGTCTATGAAATGCAAGTCTTTCAGTAACATGTTACATATTCTTAAAGGTAATTGTTGAGGTTAGAAGTCATTTCCTGTACTTGAGAGTTGAGGGTTGATGTTTTTGAGAGCTGGTGCCTTGAGTGAAGACACCATTTCTATTATGGAATGCTCATAAATTTATCCTTTAATAAAGGAGGCTATTTTCCTTTTCAAAATCAAGTACCTGGAAAAGTTTTTTAGAATGCTATAAACTTGCTTTTCTATGTAAATTTTGGTTTATTCTTTTTAAGAATCTTAGAGTAAAGCTCGTGACTTTTATAGATAAAAGCATATGAAGTCCATAAAGTTAGATGGTTTGCATGAGAAAGGTTGTGTGACTGGTGACTGATGATTCTTGCTTACTAATCTGTTGTCTTGGTGTTTACGAAGTGTTTGTGCCTCCTAGTCTTCCTCTCATTTTGCTATTTTAGTAATGACACAGAGTTATTTGAGGTCTTATGTACCTGAACAGTATATATTTGTTTTCATATTTTTATAGAATTTCTTTGCTTGTTTAACAATGCTGTGAAAGTTAAACAGAAGCACAAAGTTGAGTTATACCTTTTCCTGATTATATAATCTCTTTAGCCATATTTCAGAGGAAATGTGAACCTTGGAGTCAGACTTCAATGATAAACCCTAATTAGTTGCTCAGTGACTGTAACTTTAAAATTATAAGTCATCCTACCAAACTCTGGAACTCCTCATTTATAAAAAAGGAAATGATAAAGCTTATCTCTCAGAGCTATTGAGGTTAAAGAAATACCATATTTATGTCACTCTATAGTGTGATACTCAGGAACAGATACCCTGGGGTCATCAAGGTGTCTGTACCTATGCCCAGCAACTCTTAAGGTTAATGATTTTCCACAGTAGTACCAATAACTAATTATTTACAGAGTTCTAAATTCCTTCAAGTTATATTGAATCTTAATTGGTTGAGATAGAGGTTTTAGATACTTAAAGCAGTTACAATGAAGATTTGGAATTGCCTTAAAATTAGTGTATTGTTTTAAATTTTATAGCTTTTGCTTGATTATACTATCAATTATATTACACCTATCAAGAATCTGGTTACACTCACTAAAATGTTCAGTGACTTGTACTTTGGTTTCCTGCTGTATTGATTTGTTCATTTTGCTAATTTCTTACTGTTAAAAGCTGATAATTTAGTTTATCAAGGTCAAACCAAGTTAAGACCGATGGTCAGTGGCTTTCCTTTGTTTCTTTTTTAGAGTTCTCTAAAGTTGTATCAGAATACTCATCAGGAATATGCTCGAGTCAAAGAAGAATGCTTGAAAAGTGATGCTCAGTAAGTAGTTTTAAAATTACTGTGGAAATAAGCTTTTCATCTTTGAAACTAGACAGTCTATAAATCAATAGTGTTTCTTCTATGTCTTTGGATTTGTTGCCCATAATTAGTTGTGCAATATTGAACTAGTCTTTCAATGTTGATTTCCACCTACATAACAGATAAGTACTCATATCTACTTTGGGTGGTTATAAGAAGGGTTAAAAAGTGATCACATGTTGGAATGCTATGCAAAGAAATCCTTAAAGGTTTTTATGTCTATACATGTGTGAGCATACATGTGTGTCTGTGAGTAAAAGAACAGTTATTGGCTCCCTTCCTTGTATTAATACTGTAACAGTTATCATCTGTGAAATGGGTATCTGTATTACCATTAGTGAAAAGGGCTTTTAAAAGCATATTCATTATATTGACATTGGATACCATCTTCACCTGTCAGAAGGCCAATGGATGAGCCGTATATACAGTAGTTAATTGTGGATGTGGTGCAGCAGTGACTCAGAGACTTTCTCAGTGAGTCAGTTACCATCACTGACCCTCAGAAATCCATCTTCAAACAAGAGCAACTCTCCAACTGCTGCCTCCCACCAGGGGATGATATGAACACATACCACACATGTTCCTGAAAAATAGCATTGACTGTTTAGACTCCGGACTGGCCCTTAGAGACCGTCTGAACACTGCTCATAGATGATGTCTTTGTCCTTGGATTGAGCTCTAGTGTGTGTTTCATATGGAAAAGTCATGTGTTTTAGATCCAGTTTAGAAATATTACATATTAAATGGCATACTGAACTTTCTTAGGTTTATTCTTCCATCAGAACAATTGCTGGTAATTTCAGTTGTTATTATGCTGATAGTTGTGACTGAAAATTTGTTAATACAAATCTTAGTAATTAAAAAATATGTGTTATGAATTGTAATATATTTTTCCTGGTATGTTGTTTTCACCATAATATAAATTTAACTTATAAAATTTAATTATTAGGAAGAAGAAACTAGAAGCTAAAGTGAAGAAGCTGGAAGGTGAGGGGCACTGTTGTGACTTGGCTAACAGGAACCATTGGTCATACAAATCCTTGGTAACTGTGTGAGGTTGTAGAGTTTGATCAAATAGTTGGGTGGTTGTGAATTTCGATGGTATATGCCTGCGTTATTGCAGGAAAGGGTTTGATAGGAGGGTGTGTGTTATTGCTCTGATTCCAGTAACCAGATTGGTACCTGGAGACAGACTATTGCAATCCCTAGATGGATTCAAAATAAATAGTAGCCCATACTTTTGCTGTAAAAAGCAGCAATTAATAAAATAGTTTATTTTTGAAAGTTGAATCACTTAAGGGTTTCTCATTCTTTCTTAATAAGTGCTTTCTAGAAAAGGTTACTACTTTTAGTATCAAGAAACTGCTAATATAGTCACTGAGAGATTTCTGTGAACTTCTCAATATTAGGGATGGTCTACTTTATACTGGTCCACCCCCACATCCCACTCTTAGGGCTTCTAGCCTTGGTGAGTAGGCAGAATGCAAAAGGGCTACACAAGAATCCGTTGGGTCCTCACATCTCAGTTCACAATGCGGTCAGAAATCAGTAGGAATGGCACTCAGGTGGTTTTTCTTTGCTTTTCCTCTCATCAGCCATTGTATGCTTGGACGTGGACATATCAAAAAGCAGCAAACGGGCCTTCCCCGTCCCTGCACATGCTCTTCCCTTAATTCCTGTGTGCTTCAGCAGTCGCCTAACCTGCCATGGGTCTGCCCCGCACATTGGACTGCTCTACGTCAGACATGCTGGGTTTTCCTTTAGAGTGTTAAACAAGAGCTTGAATTTAGTTGCATCAGAGCATTTAGAATAGCAGGTGCTTGCAGTATTCCCAGTCACTGATTTATCTAGATGGAGCTGAATGTTCTAGATTTAAACTCTATAAATGTTTTGATAACATCTTCCACTGATTTGATTATTGCATGAGTATTGACAGAAGGCATTAAGAATAGTAGTGTGTTCTGAGTTGTGCTTTCTCTTGCTAGTATGAGGAGGTGAGTGTTTCAGCAAATGTTTTTAGAGACCTGCAATGCCCGTGAGATGTCACGTGCAGCTTCCACCACAGACTTTCTGCGAAGCAAAGGGAGCCTTTATTTTCCAGGAAACAAAAATTTTTCCCCTAGGAAATGATATGGCATAATAAAGACTGTTGAGGAAAGAAATACTCAAGTATGTTTGACAAGTCAGGAGAGGATTATTACTATGGTGTTTCAAGGGATTTTTCTTTTCTTAGCAAATATCTAGGAGCATATCTTTGAAAGTCAGTACTGGTCAGATTCTTAATAGTGTGCAGTCTATTTTGTGCTTCAGAACCAAAACATGGAATGAAAGATTTGCTGATATTCCAGAGAACTACAAAAATAGCTAAACAGTAGATGTTTAAAAAAGATATTTAGAATTAGAATTAACTTGTTGAAGGTAATTCAGGAAAGAATACCAGTAATTTACAACAGTAAACATCAAGAAAAATGTCTTTCTAACCAGCTGATGATGAGAATAGTGCTAACCAATTCTGGGATAAGAATGCTGTTCTAATATCTATAAGATTATTGCTGATTATTGAAGTGGGAAGAACATTGTATACTGTGGCATCTCTACCTCATGTGTTGGATTTTTGCCTGACTGACTGGAAGACTTTGGGATTGCTGTGCCTGGTTTGGAAAGGATTCTTAAATCTCTTTCAATTCTATTGTTTTATAAATGGACAGTTTAAAATTTAAAAAAGCCTTTCTGCATTTAGCCCTGATAAATACTGGAGGAGCAGTAACTTTATGAATTTTGTTTCAGTTATAAGAAAACTTTCTAAATTATTTTTTTCTCTCTTGCTTCACTACACTTTTTAAATACAGAGGCTGCTGTCAAGCAAACTCAGGACTTCAAGCAACTGAGAAATGAAAAGAAAATACTTGAGAAGGAATTTAAGAAGACACAGGTACTTTACATTCCTGGCTTCAAGACTCTTGTCGTGTGTCCATGTTGTGACTAACATGAGAGTCAGGCAGCTTTGCTACCACAGTCACAGTTGTTAAGTTGTACCTGGCTTACATTTCTTTGTCTCCAACGTCTCCACTTCTTACCCAGCATAAACACTCTTGGTGTTTGTTCTCTTGCCTTCCACACAGGAGAGACTTGATGAATTTTCTAAACAGAAAAATGAGAAGGGTGAGTATTTAATTAGTCTTTACTTCAAAATCCTGTTTTGATATGCAGCATTTTTAAAACTATTTTTCTCCATGTTTTTAGAGTTGAGACACATTGGAACCCAAATTTCAAGTGATTCCTATGGAAGCATAGATAAAAGTGAGTATATTGTAACTTTTGTTTATTACTTTTAGTGGTTTGGGAGTCTTCATGTTATTCTTAACACATAATTGTAAAAGTGCCAGGACTTAGTAGATGTTTCATGTTAGAAGCCATATATTATTTTGGGTGGTCATTAGATCCATATGTACATGTATATATATATAATCAATTTATTCTTATGCAATAATACAATGAATTAAAGAGTAAAAAAAGAAGAAATTAGAGATTTAATTTCCACATTTTTCAATGAGTAAATCTAGATTGTCTCTCTTAATTATAACTTATCACATTAATATATTAAATTTCCAAACATAGAAGCAGTAATAAAGTCGAACAGGAAAATTGTACAGTCAAAGCTCTGTAGTGTATTTTCTGAAGACAAGAGTTTAGGGAAGACCCAAAGTTAAAAAGAAAAGTAAAATAGTAGTAGTCACTGAACAACAGAAATGCAGATAGTTATGTGCACATTTTATTACTGAGTGCCTCCTAATACTGATGGGCACAGTGACCCTCCAGGTGAGAAATTGGGAGCTTTGCCTTAATACCTGTATCTCTTGCTTGGCCTGTGGGCATTTACTTCTCTTTTTTTGTTCTCCACTTTAAAAATGGAGATTATGAATTTGAGTATTTACTCTATATTGTAAGTTTTTTTGTGGGGACAAAATAAAAATTTTTCATTAGCAAGTGATGGCATTTTCATTTAACTGTTGTGTTGCTTTTTCTCCTAGTAGAAATGATTAAGATCCTTGAATTTTATTCATCTTTTTCAGGGGAGGTGGTGGAGGATGGAACTGGGGTTTGAGCTCAGGGGCTCTTGCTTACTAGGCAGGTGCTCTACCACTTGAGCCACATCTCCTGCCCTTTTTACTTTTAGTTACTTTTCAGGTAGGATCTTGAGTTTTTTACTCTGGGCCAGCCTGGGCTGTGACCCTCCTATCTACTATCTATAGCTTCCAGCATAGCTGGGACCACAGGTGCACACCACACTCTTGGGTTTATTGTTCTTGCTAATTTTTTTGCCCAGGCTGGCTTCAATTCATGAACCTCCCAATCTCCATCTTTCAAGTAGCTGGGATTACAGGTGTGATCCACCACACTCTGCCTAGACCCTTAATTTTCATGTGCAAGTATGTAGTGTCTCTTGAGAAGTCACTGCTACCCTTTGTCTTTCTTGTTCTTTGAATTACCATTATTTGTTTTTAATTTAGAGAGTGGGTCATGTTTTCTTCAGGTTAAGACTTTAACAGTTCACACTTTTAACCAGTTCAGACTGAGCACTGGTTTGTCATATGTCACTGCTGTTAATATGTAATTAGATGTGCTTTTGGCCATGCTTTCAGTATCGAGACTGATAATAGTATTACTGAGAGCAATCGAACATGTGACATTTCACTTCCCAGCCAGCAGTCAGCTATTGAGTTTAATTTTCTTCCCTTGTGAAGCAGCAGACTTACTTTAGGCCTTACTGTCCAAACATGATCCTTCACCTCTTATAATTGTACTCTCTCCTTATATTCTACCCTTTTTTTCCTTCCCCAAAGTACTTGTTTCTGTGCTCTTTTTTTTTATTTACTCTAGTGATGAGGACAGGAATATTGTCTATTGTGTGTTTAATTTTTTAAGCAAGCAGATAAACGAAATCAGCTATGGACCTTGACACCTTTAATTCCTTAATCTGAACTGTATCCTTACTGCTTTTCCCACTGATGTTTGACTCTGGAAGGAACTGGCAAGTTTGGCTCAAAAGAGCTCGAGTTGACTTTCTTGTTAAAAGTAGCCTTCCTGGTGCCACTGTGCCTGCCTTCCTTTCAAACCCCAATGTAAATGAGCCAGATAAAAAGGCATGCTTGAGCAGACATGGTAGCACACGCTGTAATCCCAGAACTTGGCCAACTGGGACAAGAAAAATCACAAGCTCAAGGCTAGCTACATAGTAAGACCTTGTCTTAAAAACAGGCAAATACATAAATAAATGAAATTTAAAAGGAATGGTTTTGGATAACTAATAAGTTTACTGTCAATAAAAGAAGCTAATGAGGAAGATGGAAAGCAGTGATAACAAATGCAGAGAAAATAGCAGTTCTCTAAAGCAGATCTCTCCAAATTTGAGGTACAAGGTGTGGGAGAAGCGTGACAGGTAATTGATTAAAGAATGAGTGTGTGTAGCCTCTGCTTTCAAAAACTGCTGCATGGCCTTTGTCCACAAATGGTGAACCAAGTATATTTTTAAAGTGTTACCTATGACATGAGAGAGCCCAACAGGTGGGGTGTGGATATCAGAAAATTGGGTAATTATGGCTATCACTTCTATACCCAGAAAAGAAGATGTTTATATGCTCTTTGTGAACCCTTAAAATTACATTAACTCACCCCCTGCCCAGAAAAAAAGCAGTCTCTTAGGTTTGTGAACCGAGAATCTGCATTTGTTGCCAAAGGAATAATACTAAAAATGTAGACCGAAAGAGAACACTTGGGCTACCGAAGACGTTCTGCTAAACTCTCCACTAAAACACTGACAAAAGAAGTAACAAGAAAGGGAGGCCCCGGATGCAAGAAGACCAAATAAACAGTATTAAATCATGCATGAGAAGAAAATGTTAAAAAATAAATTAGTATTCTTACAGAAAGTCTAAGAACATATCTGTAGCCTGCTGCTGTGGATTGAATCATTTGGGTGTCTTGAAAATTAAAAATACTGTTACAAAAATAGGCTAAATATTGACTGGACATGCAGAAGATTGGCTTAGAGAATGAAGAGATTAAATGCTAAGCATCTCTGAGGAGGTAGGAGAAAAACAACGAAATCCGAGACACTGGAGAAAACAAAAGAATTTGGAGGAAAACCCACATGCCTCAGTAGTCATCTCTTAGAACTTCTCAGAGGAAGGACAGAATGGAAGGAGGGAAGGTGATCAAAAGTTATAGAAGGGAAGTTTCCTGAGCAGAAAAAACAGATAAACTGTATATGTGCTTGCCTTAAATGTGAGAAGGGCCAAGCATGATTTTGGTATATACTCTCCATCTCTGACATGTTAATAGGAGATAAACCTAAATTAAATAAAGCAGAAAGGCTGAATGCAGAGCAGTGCTAACATGAAAGCAGTAAGTCCACCCAAAACAATAGTTTTAAGGTTAGAAACATTTATATGGATTAAAAGAGAATATTGAGAATATGAGGGTGATCTGGCTACATCTGTCACCCCACTGGTCATCAAGATTAATTCCGGTGATCTGGCAGTCTAGGTGGGCAGCCCCTGACCTCACACTCCATGTGCAACCCTCCTGAATTTGTACACTTGGTTGTAGAGGACAACCTTCCCAGATAGAGGAAGAAAGTTCTGTGGTTAACAAGATAGAAATAGCTGCATTCCCCTGCTGGAATGTCCAAAAGGGAATGTTGAGGTTGATTGAAGGTACAGATAATACTATTATGTCCCTAAGAGCATGAAACTGCCAAACAAACCTCTTGGCATTTCTGAGGTGAATAGCCAAATCTTTCTTCATGAGAGCCTTCAGTGTGTCTTTTACCAATAGAAGGTGAAAGCAGACAAGCTGGAACTGGAGCCACAATTGTCAGGTTGATAATTTATATAAAATTCTAAACCATATACCTAAAGTTCTTTAAAATACTTTCCATTCTGCCCCCCGTGGCCCATGGCTGTAATGCTAGCTATTGGGGAAGCTGAGATTGGGAGGGTCATGGTTCAAGGCCAGCCCCGGGCAAATAGTTCTAGAGACCCCTATCTCCAAAATAACCAAAGCAAAATGGATTGGAGGTGTGGCTCAAGCTGTAGAGTACCTGCCTTGCAAGTGTGAAGCCCTGAGTTCAAACCCCAGTCTCACCAAAAACAAAAAAATAAAACAACAAAAAATACCTTTTCAAATGTTTTAAAAACACGTTTATAAAAAACATTAATAAAAGTGGCCTAGTATACAACATAAATCCTAAATTTAATATGAGATATTAATAAAAATTCTCCCCTGTACTCCCTTAATGAAATAGAAAAACAAAGCAATGGATTTGGGACTCTTGAAACTGATGACTCGATGTTTGCAAGACTAGTGAACCCAGCAGCGCTGGCGAGTGGGAGCAAAAGAAGGAGCAAAACCCATAGCACAAGGGCTGGAGGTTGGGAAGCACCAGTGGAGCTTTTAACTCACAGTGTCACATTGAAATGTGAGAAGAAGATAAAATGTTTTAAGAGTAGTTATGTTAATGCCATAAAGCTAGGTGGTTTATGGGTGATCTCTAATAACTTCAATGAAAACCTAATGTCTTTAGTATTAATTCATTGCTTTAGAATGAAGAAAAATATGGAATGTTTCCATCTTCTCTTAGACTAGCATCAGCATGTAGCAAAACCAAATAAGAGAAATGTGCACACACATCCTCCAAGTTCAGAACTCTGGTACTTGATAGCATAACTGCGTGGTTGCTTTACATCTATACATGACTTAAAATACAAATGGTGACCTAAGGATTTATCTCAGGAATGTGAAAACTGGTTCAGCAAATATGCTTATGTCAGTTCAGCACCCATGTCTCAGAAAAGACTTAAAGCAGTATGTGACACCACAGGGGCAATGTAACTAATGTAGAATATAAGTCTAATTGGAATTGTCATTGTGACCCCTCCATAACAAAGTACATCCTAATAAAAGTATTTATTACAAACAGCAGTATGTGGTGCCTCTAAGAGGAAAACTAAAACTTTCTTGAAAAGGTGTAAACAAGACCACACATAAGCATTATCTTTCTGGTTGAGAAGACTATGCATGAAGATAGTGATCTTTAAATGTCTGTGTGACTGTATTATCTCCCTGAGGTCACAGGAATGGTTTCAATGGAAGAGAACAAACAGGTGGTAAAGGTTTATAGATGTTCAGAATAATAAAATTCTTGGAAAGAAGAGAACTCAGCAAGGGTCATGCTCTCACAGCATAGTCATAAATCTGTCAGGATTAAAGACTGCAATGATACAGAAATGACAAAGCAAAGGCAGGGAAATCAGAAATTATCTCAAGTGCTTTACATTTTCATAAAGGAAGCATGCTAAAGGATTGAAGACAGGTGTGCATTATCAATTTAATGAGGTTTATCTTCACAACCTAGTAACGAAGCTATACTGAAGATGTTCTCTGTTTTGTTCAGGGGTTAGATTAGAAGTAAAGGGTGCTCTGTTAGGGTAGACATTACACACTGGTTATTAGCCTCCATAGGATGGAAAAGTAACTTCTTTTCTTTTTTTTTAAGGTTCCTTGTTTGCTGCTTTGGGTAATAAGCAGGGATCCTGGTCAGGTCATTTAAGCAAAGGGGATTACAGTATTTGGAAGCAGGCTTTTGGGTAGGTTATATCACAATGTAGATAAGCTACTCAATCACAGAATTTGGAATTCACAATTTTGGAACTTCACACACAGTGATAAAGGTTGATTTGGCTTAGGAGAGGTTGGCAGTGTCCAGCTGTTGAGACTCATTTGTAATTATGTCCTTCACATTTGTCCTGGTCCCCTTCTGTGGACTTCTCTTTTAAAGTGACTCAGCTTGCCATTGTTAAGTAGGACTAACCCATATTAAACTCTGTGATTGATTCCTGGAGGTATTTTGGTTTAAAAGGTTGGTCTTTTCATCTTCTCTTGAACTGGAATAAAATTTTACTGATTCTCCTAAAAGCTTAAATTTAGAAACTTAAGTTTAAGGAAACTTTGAGGTGACCTGAAATTACCTAATACTTAAGCTACTTTTAGTTGTGTTTTAATTACTGTTGGTTGCTTTATTTTTTTGGCACATGTGATCACAAGTGATTCGTATTTTCATGAATATTTTCTTTTGAAGGTATTTTTGGAATTTGTATACCTATCATATTTCAAAAGCTGTGGAACATTGGAATTAGAGTATTAGGAATTTCACTGGGCTGTCTTAATTACGCTTCCCTTGGTCTCTCACCTTTAGTCAATAGTTCTAAAAGTTCCAAAGGTTTCACTTATGAAAGCAGGTGCTTCTCTCTGCTCATGTGTCTGTCCTTGTGCGTATGTTCACACACGTACACATTGTGTTACTGCCCCTACCCCACAAGTCCATTTTCTGTGGTCCACGAGTCCCCAGGTGAGCTGCAGCATGGCTAACTGATGGTCTTTTGATAGCCTAATCTAACAGAGGGTGCTTCGATACTGTTCGTGTGGAAGACATAGAGCCCCAGACCCTTATGTTGTATCTATTAACTGTGCCTTCTCCAATAGCACTCTGCAGAAAATGCATGGGCCAAACATCCATCTGTCAAATGCATAGATAAGGATGATAGAAGCCTTTAAGAAGTGTACTGGGTCTTTTGAATCCCTCCCCCCAAAAATGAAAAAGCAAACAAACCTATATTGAATGATTATTTTTTTATTAAAGCATTTCAGACCTATCAACAACTAGCTGAACTGTGCACAATGATTGAGTTAGTTTTCTAAGTCCCTAATAAATCCTGATTTCACAGGGGTGTGTTTGGGCCTCCTACAGGTTCAGCCAAATGATATGACTTTAATGCTTTATTCTTTCACAGGAAAAGTGAAATTGCTCCTGAAGGAACTCTGGCTCTGTGTGAACACAGCACACAGACTCCCTGGTGACGTCAGCAAGCGCATCCCAGGTGAGAAGGGCTTATTTACAGAAGTACACTTCAGCATAAACCTGGAAGTGGGCATTGCAGCCTTTTCTTTTTAATGTCTCATGACTCATTGAAATAATGAAATAAAATAGAATGGATATACTTCTTAGTTTACAAAACTTCTTCCCTTCAGTGTCTCTTAATGTCAGCAAATGCATTTAACTCATTTATTAATAGCACCTTTCATTCCAGTTTTAGAGAAACTGGAAGGGCAAAAAAAAAATGGAAATGTATCTGCTGTGTGTATGTGGAAGGCTGAAGGATGCAGTTTTTAAAAATCATTTCATGAGTTTGACCTGTAGACAGTTCACCTTAATTTCTCATACGATTTACCCAGTTCTTGTGCATGAACATCTTGCTTTGCAGTCAGATGTCATGTAGGCATTCTCACAGTCAATTCAGGATTTCACATTTGGAAATAGATAAAGCCATTCCTAGTAGAAGGGAAGATCGCTCGCTTGCATACAATTAAAGTGCTTTGTACTTAACTTTTTGTATTTTACTAATTTCTTAAGATTACCTTCCATGAATTCACAGGTCATTGAAGGTCTAAATCAATAGCAACATGAGCACCTCGTTTCCTCCCAGGACTGTCTGAAGACTGATTTCCCTCAGAAGAATGTTAGTGGGCTAGTTGCTGATTCTTACTCTAGCTTCATAACTGGTCAGGTGTTCTGAGATGTATTTGATGGGCTTTTAAAGAGATTCTTTCCCCAGTTTTCTTTGTGGATAACAACAATGATAATAACCAGATGGTATCAATCCTAAATTAGTCTTTGCAGTTTAGAATTTATCATTCATGCTGTTGCACCCTGGGGATTCTTTTTAGCCTTCTATACCAGACAGTAGCCATATTTGAAACACTTTGTTTTATACTATTACAGTATTATTAAAAGGACTATCATTCACTTAGTAATTCAGTGTTTTCATTTAAAAACACACTTCTAGGGGTAAGCCTATTACTTATGCTACCTTTGTCCAAGGCAGAATGGGAAACATAGCATCTTGGAATTTTGCTATAACATAAGATACTCTTTTTAAAATTTTTTTATTTTCATATAAGAACAGTTAGAAAAATAGTGCAGAGAATTCCTTCAGCACCCTTATCCAAATTTCTGTTTTCAACATATTCTGTTACCATGGAACAAAGCCAGAATATCTGTTCCAGTCCTGTAAAAGAAACTATAGATCTCATGTGATCTGCACAAATTTTCCTAATGATTTCTCTTTCCCTTCCAGGTTCTAGTTCAGAACCCCATCTTGCCTTTAGAAGTCATCTTCCTATATTTAATCCTCTCTAGCCTGACAATTCCTCTATTTTTCCTATTGCTTATGTCTTTGACACTACACTTCAAGAGAGTATTATTTTATAGAAAGCATATCACTTTTGTGTGTCGGTATTTTCTTATGTTTGACTAGGCGTGTAAAATTGTGGCATGATTGTCCGCTCAAGGCACTGTGCTGGGGAAGGTGATGTAGATGTGTGTGATTAGACTCACCCACTGAATGTGGCATGTGGAAATGTGTCTCGCTTGCTGCGGTTACTGCTTAGTGCTTGCCCAGTACTGATTTTTGTACTTTTTCATTCCTTCTGCATTTATTGATAAGAATTCTTCTGCAGGAAGAGCCATTCTTCCTCCACTATCTGTGTGCTCTGTAGACTGTTTGTGTATGTCAGTACTGTCACGTAGATAAGTGTTTTATTCCATACATTGCAGTTCGGTACTGACCTTAATGTTTACTTGGTTACGGGGTTCTTCAGAGCAGCTCCCAGGCTCCTCAAGTACACTCATCTTAACGTTGGTGCCATTGCAAGAATTTCATATTCAGCTTTTCTTTTCTTTCTCCAGCCTTGTAACACCATTTCTCCAGAGTCTGCATCCTCTGTAAACCACATCTACAACTTTCAAAAAGAAAACAAATAGTGATTCCTAAATAATTTTCTGAGACCCGTATTTCTTTTGATTGTTAATCAGTAGCAAATGAAGTTCACCAAAATCAGGACCCTAACAGGATTGGCTTTTTATAGTAACTTTTCTATTGTGTTATCCCACAAATTATTCACATGAATTAGGCAGGTCTCTCATTTGCAGTGTTGTATAAAAATGGTCATGGGTTGGCCTCATACTGGTTGACTTCAGACACAAAATCGTGTACCTTTCAGCTTATATGCACAGAATTGTATTGGTTTTTGTTTATTTATTTATTTTTTTTGGGCCACATTCCAGTGGTTGAATGGAAAGCTTCACCAAGAGCCTGAGTTAACAAGGCCATTACCCTCCCCACCCCCCCATCAATTTTCTGTCACTTTCCTAGAATAATGTTTAGAAATTGATTTGTTCCATTTTAAAAATGTTTTTACTTACTTGGACTTATTGCAAGCATTTTGAATAGTTAGTATAAGTTTTTTATTTTAAGTTTTCTTAATGTCGTAAATATTTAATATTCTACTTCTCCCCTTAGCCCCCCCTGAAAAACCTGCCAAAGAAAACACCAGATCCAGAGCATCTGGGGAAGATGGAGCTCTAACTCCAGCAGAAGGCAGTCCTCGCAGGACCGCAGATGTACAGACATGCCTCACGGAACTGTCCATGGAGGTAGAGGGCTGCTTTGATTCTTGTGAGAGTCCAGAAGAGGAGAGGCCCATTGGAGCAAACCACAGTGCTGACCTTGTTTCTAATGAGGGCCGGAATCCTGTGGTCTTAGTGCAGAGTCCTGATGTTGGGGACCATGGTCACTTTTTTGATGAAGATCTTCAAGCTGCAATTGACTTCTTCAAATTACCCCCTCCTCTTCTGTCTCCAGTGCCCTCTCCCCCTCTGATGTCACCCCCACACCTGGACTCCTTACCATCTTCACTGGCAACCGTGAGTTCTCGGAGTCTGGATTTCATGTGCTTGGATTGTCCTACATTCATATACTCAGAGGGTATTAGTGAGCGCAGGGAAATCTGGTTTTAGCCAACTTTAGTAAAGAGTAACACAAGAAGTTAAAAAGGTGTGCTAGTGCCCTTTGGGTCAACATGTATAGTTTAACTTTTTTCACTTTGTTTTATGGTTGCATTTTTATTTGTCTCTAACTGCAACCAAATTATAGATTTCCCATAAGAAGACTATGCTTAGGTGTTTATTTTTATAATTAATGCCTGGAATATAATAGACATTGATTGAATTAAGCATATGCTTGTCAGCATGGAGTTCATAGTAGTAGGAAATCCCCGCATATGACATATGTGGCCATTGGCCTTATGTAGCTTAGTTTCTCACCTTCATTTGAGTTTGCCGTCTTTTTGTGTGTTTGCAGAGTGTTTTATAATGGTTTCTTGGGAAATCAGTCATGATTTTCAGACCTTTCGGCTGAAGCAACAAATGAATGTACAGGAAACAATATTGCCTGTGTCTATTATACTCCAAAAACTGAACTAGGCACTGGGGGTTGGGGGAAGGTAACAAAGGATTCAATGCCAGGGTCACTGGGTGGAGGAAGGACAGAAAGGAAGTGGGTACCTGCTCTGGTGGGGTACAGCCCTGCAGGGATGTGGGACACTGTGAAAGAGGAGAGAGCTGGTTCCTGAGTAGTGGACAGGCTGGTGGGGAGGCCATACATATGCTTGAGCATAAGAGTAGTTCAGAATTAGAAGCTGTTTGTACAGTGGTGAACAATGTTGGGGAGCATCAATGCAGGCCAGGACTAGAAAGTCACTGGCCTCTTCTGTGTCTTCCACACAGTGGGAAATCCTTGATGACTCCAAGGGCATGAACTGTGTGACGTTTCATTTGAAAGTTTCAGTTTAGTCACAGCAGGAATGAGTAGAGACTGGAGGAGAGTCAGGAGGCAGGCAAGACCACAAAGTCTTGGCTTAATAGGCAATTTATCTCATTCTTAACATCAGGACCCAAGTTGTGGCACTGAGGTTAAAGAAGTGGCACTGATTTCAGAAATATTTGATGTCAGATGAGTAGCTCTTGGTAACATTTTCAGGGTGGTCCTTAAAGCAGATGGAGAAGTCAAGAATGTTGAAAAATAGTTAATATAAGAAGAGACCCTGCATGGATGGGAAATAAGTTGCTGAGTGTGTAGGGTTTTCAGGTGGCTATTTGCAGCCTGTATCTTAAATACACAGCTTTGGTGCTTTGGGGGAGAACCTGTTGGCATTTAGTGCAGCAGAAACCCTGCAGCTCTTGGATGGCATCCGCTAAGAGCGTATTGGGATGGGAACAGGTGGGGGCCCAGGCAGACTGCTGGGGAACTGTTAATATGTAAGCGACAAGTGGAAGAAGAGGTGTGAGAAAAGGAGAGTAAAGACAGGTGACTACTAGAGCATGGAGGAAAACAAGGAAACAAGAGTAGTCTAAATTCAAGAGAGGAAAAGATGTTTCCAGTAGGAGCAAACTTGTCAGCACTTGTACATCTCTGTCCACTCTTCCCTTGTAGGTCAGGAGGTCAGGGTGTTAGAAGTAATCAAAACAGATGAGGGTGCTGTTTGGTGTTGTGGAGAGTTTCTGACCAGAGGTGTTCCTAACTGGCTGCAGAGCAGTATGGGGAGGAGAGAACCCCGTAAGGGGGCCAGCACTGATGTGAGTAGTGTTGCAGGTAGCTGCATGGCTGGGCCCTAGAGCAATGGTGAGGTTAAACAGTACTGCCTGGGTCTGACTCTGACACATGGGAGCACAGGAAGGAGAAGACTATGGAGCCAAAAGTTGGGATGTAAGAGTTTGAAAATAGAAATGCTTGGGAGTTAAAAGAACAGGTACAACCCTGGGCCCTGGTGGAATGGGGAGTGGAAGGACATTTGTTGTGGGAGGACTGTAAGAGTAGGGTAGAAGGACTGGAATTCTTCAAGGAGAGGGGGGAATAACATCGCACTGGAGACCAAGACACTACCCCCTCAGAGATCCCAGAGCATAGACCACCTGTCCAAGAAGTGATTTTTTAAAGAATTATTTAGGAAGTATGAACTTTTTAAAAAATGCATTTTATTGATGTTGTTAGCCATGTTTAGTGTGTTGAGTGAAGGTTTAACTAATATAACTCATATCATTTTAAGGAAACCTACTTTGGAGAATATACAGATTCCAGTGATAATGATTTGGCCCCACTTAGAAATTCTGCTGAGTCTGCTTCAGAAGATGACACAGCTGAATCACAGGATTATTTTGGCTTATCCAGGAAAAACAAAAGAAGGAGTACATGGAAGGAGAAGCCCAAATCACATGAAGCCACCCAAATTCCAAATGAGTTTGCAGTAAATAGAGTGACAGCTGTTGGATTTGAGACTTCAACAGCAGCACTGGGAGAACCTTCAGCCACATCTTCTTTAGCTCAGGAAAAGCACTGGACAGTATCACCTGAGCTTGTGAATGATAAAAAGAGAGACATTTCAGATGAGGCAAAAAGACAAGTGGAGATCAGGAAGATGGGTAAATCTGTGCAAGCTGAGAAAATGCTTCATAAGCCCACCAGGAGTCTGTCGGTTGAGAAGTTGTCTGGCGGCCTAGCAGGAGAGAAGGACACACTGACCATGAAGTCAGAGGTGTATTTTTCTCCCCTTGGCAAGAGGCCATTGAATGAACTTACTGAATCTGGAGAGGGAACCCTGTTATCAAAAAAGGTAGGATCACCCCAATCGGAGTTTGCTAAGTGGACACTTGCTGAGGAGATCGCTTCCAAACCAGACTGTGTAACAATTTCTGGCCATTTTCAGAGAATATCTAGAGAGATGGCAAAGGAAAGGGAATGTATGCAAGGGTCCACGTCAGAATCACCTGAACCAGAGGGCATTGACCCAGGTGGTATGATGGGTGCAGTGGACCTTGACATTGAAGCCAGATTTTCTTCCCCTTCTACCTCGGTACCAGCGTCTATTTGCAGTAATCCCCAGACTTCCCGGGTACAGTATGTTAAAGATGCAGATATTCCAACTAAAGTAATCCCTGCTAAACTGTGTCATTCAGAACAAAAACTGCAAACTCAAACTTTAAACACATTACTTCTGCAGTCTGAGCCGCCAGAGTGTTCTATACAAGAAAATGACCTGGAGAACAGCTTGCATAATTTGAGCCCAGAACTGGGAGTATCTAATTTTAATGATCAGAATAGCAGCCAGATTGAATGTGCAAAAATTGTTAAAGGCATGACCAAAACTTACTCACTTCTTCAGTCAATATTTAGGAAGGCTACAAAAGATGGACAATGTGAACATCAAGATCCAGCTATTGAGGTCACACTACATAAGTCACGTTTGACTTCCTTAACAGATTCTCAGGCTGGCTTGATCAAGAGTAGCTCTGGTTTTGCTGAAAGCACTTTGTGGCACCAGAGCGATCTATTAAGGAGAGGTGATGAAGAATGTCATAGAGCTACCTCAGAACATGAACAAATGACTAGTCATCACTTAGAAAAGACAGTGCTAGCCTTACAAAGTAGAGGATCAGCAGCCACTCTTAAACTTCCTAGCGAAGATGCTAGTCCTGTGGAATTCAAGACTCCTGCTTCTTTACTGCCTAATCAAGTGTCAGTTATCACAAAACAGGCAAGACCTGAAAAGAGTACTAATGTGGAGCACTTCAGACTGCCTGGGAACGAAGCAACCTCAACCCTAGAAAATCGCATTAACAAAACTGATGAGATGTCATGTGTTGCAAAGTGTGCTGGGGACAGGGCTGAAATGGCAGGAAACAGCGAGGGAACACCTGCTGCCAAAAGCACTTCACTGGGACTTTCTCCTTCTTGGAGAAAATTAGATTCCGATTCTCCAAGTGGCTCTTTACTAGAAGAAAATGTTGATTGTTCTACAGATAGTAAGTTGCCTTTCTCATCTGAAGATATCCACATCCAAAACCAGGATGCTGCGAGGGAAATGGCAGAGGAGGAAGAGATGCAGGGTGAGGCGCAGAGCGAGGCTCAGCAGCCTCTGCAGTCTCCACACACCACAGATCCTGAACCATGTGGCCTGGGTGGTCCTGCAGTGCTTCCCACTGAGGCGACTGTGTCAGGCGGCTTTCCTGTGGAAGAGATACCCTGTGGAGACACAGGCAGACCAGGCACGGATGCCCCAGCTATTGCAAATGATCCTCCTAGCACAGTGGAAAGTCCTGGTGAACTTTCCAGGTCAACATCCACAACACCTTGTGCTGCTTTTTCCAAACATTTTGTCACCATGGATGCTGCTTTTTCTTCAGCATTTTGCAGAAAAGAAGAGGATAGCTCCAACAGTAATCTCTCTGATACTTCCTACTACTACACAGGCATTCGGGAGGGAGGAGAAGACACTGAGGCAGAGGGAAGTGAGGCGCTCAGCTGCAGTGAGGGTGAGCACGAGGCTGAAGCTGTGACTGGGACTAGACAGCAGGAGGTGACCAATGGCACTCAGAGGGATTTGGAAGAGAGAGAGGCTGGGGTGGCTGAGTCAAGAGTTATGGCAGATGTAGGGTATTTGACCTCAGCTCTGCAGGATTTTAACATAAGTACTTTTCCTGACATAGATAGACTTTCTACATCAGAGGTTGTTATGTTTCTTGAAAGTTGTCAGTTAAGGGATTATAGTTCAGGAGACTCTGTTTCAGAATGTTCTAGCAAAGGAACTCTAAATAAAGAGATGAACAAAGATTTAAAGCAAAGTGAAATTTCAGGAGAGAAAGGTGGGAAGCAACCATGTGAAGAAGAAACACTTGGAACCTCTGAAGAGTGGATTGAATCAGAAGAAGATGATTATTTAAAAACTTCAAGTGAGCTTGCACAGTGTTCTTTAGAAACCCTTTCCGAGGTTCTCACCAAGATTGGTCAAGAACTTCAAACAAATTATGAGGACTGTAATAGTAAGGATGCTGACAGTTTATTAGATATGCATGACAACCTTACCACGGAGGACTTGAAAGAAAACATTCCACCTGAGGAAACAAGTAGCCTGGCACCTCAGACTTCAGAACAGCCCCTGCTAACATACAGCCTAGACATTAGAGGCAGCTCTCCTGTGAGTGCTGGATCTCATCCTGAGCACACTCGGAGCAGACCTGAGGATGATCCCAGTGCTGGTGGGTGCACCGCTGGTGAGGAAGAGGGCCTGGCAGAGCCTGTGGAACCATCAGCCCTGGGTTCTGCCTCTGCAGTAGAGCCCAGGGTAGAGCAAAGCTCTGGTTGTGAGGCTGAGACAGCATTTCAGTATCAGATATCCACAGTGACCTCAGAAGTTATAAATGTACTTATAAACAAGGGTCAGAATCTAGTCATTGAGAAGGGGGACAGTTGGACAATCATCAGTGGTGTCGCCATCTCACCAGGCATGGAGCAGGCTGTGCTGTGTGAACCTCCTAGGGATGTGCCTGTTGCTCAGGATCAGGAAGGGCTAGAAATTGGATTTGTTTCAGAGACTTCTGAGAAGTCCCCAGAGACAAGTCACACTGGCCCTCCATTTCAGGAGCCTCCATGTGACAGTGATCTTTCAGGCACCCAAGAGGATGTTTCAAGCAGTGGTCAGAGTACCAACTTTGATAAAAGTCGTTTGCGGAACAGGCCTGTTAAGCCTAGTATATGGATTAGTTCTCAAATATATGATCAGACATTTGAAACTCAGAATGTGGTATCAGATCACACATACTATAACTCAAAACTAGAGCCACTTGGCAAAAATAAGAACCGGTCAAAGATCTCAAACAAAGATCAATCAAACAAGCCAATGAAGACTTCAACATTGAGCAAAGGGGAAGCTCATCAAAGTGAAATCTGTCAACCCTTTGCAGGGGAAAGAGGTACAAAAACTCAGAGAAGTCAAACTCAGCCCATTCTGGCAAATGCTGATACATCTACTCCCACAGATTGTTCTCCTGACACTCTGAGCAGGATACGGCAAGAAGTGGGGCCCCCACTGCCTCCTCTGCTTGCTCCTCTGATAGCTACACCTCCACGGACTTCACAGCCACTTTCTCCTCTGATCTCAAGTTCTAGTCCTTCCTCACCAGCCTCTCCCACTGGCCAGATTTCCCCCTCATGTGAAATCCCCGTGCCTCCTGTGTTGTCTCCATGGCCAGAGGACCCCCTGTGTGTTTCCCCCCAAGATCCCTCCCCATCTCCATCTGCGGTGGCCAGTGGAAGGGTATTGTCCTCTCCTTTGCAGTTCTGTGCAGCAACACCAAAACACGCGCTTCCTGTGCCCGGCAGACTTCCGCCTTGCGCGCCTGGCCCCACTACAGTGGGAGGGCCACAGGAGAATTCCGTGAAAATCCTTGACACCATGTACCCAGAGTTGTCTGCCAGGGCACGGACCCTCAGCATCCTCAAGGGGAATATTCAGCTCTCTCGAGGGGCATCTGCAGATGGTAAGATGTTACCAGGGCGGGTCAGTGCTCTGATAGGGCTCAAAGCGATCACTTCAACATCAACTGCCTTCGTCAAAACAGGAGGCAGTTCTGGTGGTGAAGGTGGCCAAAGCAAGTCAAGAGATGTGGGGACTCAGCAAGATCCAAGTGGGAAAAGAATGTTATCAGCAGCTACACTGAGGAGTGCTAAAAGATTGCGCCTGGACAGCGAGTCCCCAGAACCAGAACCCAGGGTGAGCACTGTGGAGGGAGTCCACAGGAACCTTCTGAGAAAACCCCAGCAAGCTGAAGTCAACACACCAGAGGAGGAAGGAAGCTCGGTGCTTGCCGGTAGCCCAGCTCCACAGCTAGCTCCTGTAAGCCGAAAAGAAACCGTGGAGCCGCGTGATAAAGCCATAGCTCATGCACTGAAGAAAGTTGCTGAGGCATCTTTTGACCTGTTGCCCGTCATTCGAAGTCACGTGTATGTGGGGAATATCTCCAAAAAGCCTGTGATGAGAGATCAAGAGAAAGAAGTTGTTTATGAATTTAGCACAACCAAAAAGGTATGTGGCTGATTTTCTCTAAGTGATTTGTTACATGTCTTTCAGAGATGGGCTGGCTAGTGTCAGCAGAGTGTGCAAGTGACCCTGAGCAGTTCTGCTTCTCAGATTGAGAATTAGCCATGTAAACATTAAGACAAGTATTTATTTCTAAACAATATTTTGTAAGTTTGAAATACTATAAGACACTGGCATTTTGATACTTTGTATTCACTAAAGAACTTAAAATTTTACTGGGCAAAGAAAATGTGTCAGGACTAAAATTGCATATTTCCACTTGATCCTGGCATGTTTAAAGGCTCAAAATGATTGCCTTTAGCACATCAAATTACTGTCACATAATAGAGCCTTTCTTTTTTTTGAATAGCAGCATATGCAGTTTTACGTGTTTGACAGTCTTACAGAAAACTCTCCACGAATGAATGTTATACATCAAATGCTTAGTTTAAAGATGGGGAGGAAGAGAGTTGTGCAGATCTGTATGCACAGCTTGTTAGGACTTTTGTGGTTCCATATTTACTGAACACTCATCGTGCACATCCTTGGGGACCTTATGGCTTTGATCACTTATGCTCATAAATCATGAAGGGCACTGGAATATTTTTGAAGGATGTTTCTTTTTAAGAAAAGAGTGAACCAAATTATCATTTAATGGTCTTTTTCTGAGCAAGAAAAATATTACCTGGTATTTTAAATGCAAGCAGTTGAGGAAGAGTCTAGGAAACGTGTGGGAATCCAACTAGACTGGCTTACTGCACACACAGGCCCTTTTGGTAAAAAACAAAAGGATTTGAATGGTGGCAGTGACAGTAAGAACCAGGTATGTCCAGACTTGCCACCAGGCATCTATAGCACGATGGACTACGAGAAACAGAAAGACACGGAGTAGCTCATGCCTTGCAGTACTACTGGTTTCTGATACTGTGTAAGTTTCAGTTTTTGAATAGATACTTGTGTTAAGAGTAGCTATTTAAGTATGCTAGAGAGAAACAGGAGTGTACATTGCCTTTTTATTTATTTATTTATTTTTTCCAATTCAGCATTTAGCAGAGTTCTTGCTTCGCTCTATTCTGTCAGAATTAAAAGTTCAGAAGACCTCTGTGGACCATAATTATATTCATGCCCTATGCAGAGTGTATGTGGGTGTTTGTCGGCAACTTGGAGACTTGGAAAGAGCTCGTTTGTTTTGTTACAGTTTACTTAAGGAAGGTATGTTTAGGTTTTGATGTTTTTGTTGCTTATCTTACCTTTTACTTGAATGTATGGTTTTCAGCTGATATTTGTATCTTTTAAAATAATTACACACATTGCATTGCAAGAAAGCAATGCAAGTCAACTCCCTGTATAGCTATCCTTATCCCAACTACCAAAAACCCTTGGTCCTTCCTATTATTGCTTATACTCTCTCTTCAACAAAATCATAGATAAGGGCAAAATAGTTTCTGCCTGGTAGCGAGGAGGGTAGGGGGGAGACGGAAGGGGTGGGGGGAAGGGAAGGAATGGGGGGAAGAGGGGAGAAATGACCCAAACATTGTGTGCACATATGAATAAAAGAAAATACCCAACACAAAAAGGGCTGGCAGAGTAGCTCAAGTGGTAGAGCGCCTGCCTAACAAAGCATGGAGTCATGAGTTCAAACTTTAATATCACACAAAACAATAATAAAATAAAAATCATAAAATTTACAGGAAAAAATATACTGTTCTGTGGATCTAGGAGAGGGCATAGCAGTTTGAGCTATACCTAAGTGTACCATTTTTTCAGTAGGAGAATTTACTTAATCTTACGTTAACACATACGTTACCACTTCTTTGTAATTGTCTTCTAACTGTGTCGCTGCTTTAGAATCATGTAGTTGCCGTAAGATATGGCAAGACTTTTGAAATGACTAGCCCAACAACTGCTGTTCCCTGGATGTAAAGGGCAGCAACTCTGAGATGGATTTGTAAACTCATGGAAAGGACGATCTGGGAGAGAAGAAAAGGAGATGGAGGCTGAAGGGCTGATTTGCGATCTTTTCCTTTACTACGATTTCTTCAGTCCTACGAAGGAATCAAACCAGGAGTCATTCATTCTTCATTGATCAGATCAGCAGGATTTGAGAAATGATATGCAATTGCAGGTTAACATATATGAGAAAGTCTGTGGGAGTGTTGCCTTTTTATTTCTGTACTTTTTCAGTCACTTCTTTTCTCAACAAATCATTATGGGATTCATGCTAAATGCTAGTTGTTCTGTGGTGACCAAAATCAGGCACAGGTGTGACCATCCAAAGGGACCCAGAGCCTACAGGAGCATCACAGGAACACATGCTGGTCTTTCAGTGATAGGCAGTAGAGAGGGGAGAGGTGTGGGCTCAGCCAAGTATATGTAATTTCTTGTTCTTCCTCATCGACCACATGCTCACAACTCACAACTGGTCTTGTTTTTGTAAAGATTTCTCTTCCTCTTTGCTTCCATTTTATCATGGCCCACTGCATTTCTTCACATGACTTCAGCCACTCTGTATCCTATATTCTTATTCCTTATTTTACCATAATTCATTTTGCTTGCTATCTCTCTCTTGCACTAGATAGTATATTCTGAAAGCACAGCAATTTGTCTTGTTCCCACTCTATCCCCACTCCAGAAAAAATGCATTGCTGGCCATCATTAAACTTATCTATTGGACAAATGAATTGCACTTTGGAGGGTGGATTTGATAGTGTGAGGAGTCAGCATAGCTTTCCTCATCAAAGTAACTTTTGAATGTGAGGTGTGGGAGATACACAAACAGTGTGTAAGTGAAGGGTGAGGAAGAGAATTCTAGGCTAAAGAAACATAGGCAGAAGTTGTACGAGGGGAGGAAATGTCACCAGATGAATATAGGGTTTAAAAATCCACAGAACAAACTAGTGCATTGAGTTTTTACTTTAAGATACCCACATGGCAATGATAAAGTAGAACAAAGGGAATTAAAAGGATAGGCCTTCCTGACAAATGGGATAAAAAATCTTCACATGAGAAAACTCTGACATTTTTTACAAAATCATTGTTTATATGACCCAGAAATTCCACTGCAAAGTATATATCCAACAGAAAATGTCTATTAGAAGGTAAATGAACAACTTAATTGTGGTTTCATAAACAATTGCATTCTACTTAGCTGTACAAAGAAATATGACTATTGGTGCATGCAACAATTGGATGAATCTCAAAAATTATGCTGGTAGGGAGGCCAGACAGAAAAGAGTCTATGCTACCTTAGTCCATGAATAAGTATGTGAGAAAAGACACACTACTTTGTAATGTAGGAGCAGATCTGTGTCTGTAAGATGATTTACTATGAAGGGTGGAGTAAGACATTTTGGGATGGTGGGCACTGATTGTGGTGGTTACATGGATTTATTTATTCAGTTGTCAAAATGTATCAACCTCTACGTTTAAAAAGCTTTTATTGTTTCTAAACTATAATTGAGTTAATTAAAAAAAAAAAACATAAGCCAGAGCAAAGAAGAAAGTATTTACAGCAAAAGGATTGTTATCTAGAATTTATATGTATAAAAAATCTCTACCTCAGAAACTTTTGTAATCTGTACTGATGTAAAATGTAAAAATGCCCTGTATTTCATATATTGTGTGGAAGAATTCTGAGGCTGAGGAAATTTAGAGAAAGGGTTTTTGCCTTTTCTTTATGTTTTGGAGAGGTATTTTTTCATGCAATGTGGTATATTTATGTACTATGTTTAGAATTTAACCAAAGAAAGTGTGACAAAGGAGAAAAAAGAGTAGGTTTTGAAATAGCTACTAAGATCAGAGCCTCATCTGGGCCACCCATTTGCAGTCCCTTCAGATGGACTATTCCTTGCAAGGCACCAGTGAAATAAATAAAATTTCTTCATAGCTTTTAAATTCATTCACTTGATCAGGCATAAAGGTTTATTTCATTGTTTTCTTTCCCATAGATTTTCCAGAGTCTGAGAAATTGACTTTGTTTATTGCAAACATGTGGCATGATGTGTTTCTCTCTCAGTCGGTGATTAGTAAAGCAATGCAGTTAGTTGCCAGGCAGCGTGCTAAAGGCGAGGTTCTGAACTGCTTGAGAGCCTTTCTCAATTGGGAAAAGGTGAGCCTTGTTTTATTTCTTACCACAGCATACTTGTAGACCATACCTGGATGCTACTGCTTAGCTTTGCATTTAGTTTTGTGTTAGTTCATAGGCAGTTTAGATATTCTTCTCCATATTAGATCCTTTAGCATTTCATTTAGCCTGGGATTATGCAGTTCATTCCTTCACCATTCATGAACCATTCCAGGAAGAATTGTGGACCTAGGAAATGTGTTAACTAATCAATTTGTTTCATATACTAGTTTGTGACTAATGATCACAATGTACAAAATGATTGGAAGAGCTATAAATTATTTGATTCTACAACAGGTATTTAGAGAGGTAAAAAAGTTGATAACTTCAACTTCTGTTAGGCTCTTTTTAAGTCTAATATTCTGTTTCTCTCTAGTTGATGAAACTTGTATTTGTTCTAAATAGTTTGTTCTCATATTGCCTGCTGTTACTTTGTTTTTCTTTTCTTACTGATGTGTTAAAGTAGTATTTAGATTGATGCATGCTCTTTTATTCGTGATTTTATTTAATGAGAATCCAGTGAAGGGTTGGTTTTTATCTTTTCTTTTTTTTTGTTTTTCTTTTTTTTTAGGCAAGCATGTATTTCACGTTTTAGAAATTCTCAGAACTTATGTGGAGTATAATTTTATATGCTGCTTTGCTGTCCTTTTTTGATATTTGTATTCAGTAGACTTGGTCCAAAGTTTGATAAATATTAAAAACAAGTCTGTAATCATCTCTTCAGCAACCTATGTGGACAAACCAAAGTACATTGATGTAAAGTACTGTTACAAATTTCAGTGAATCATTTGGCAGTCACCGGAGACCTTTTGTGCTGAAAGAGGTTGTAGCTCCTTGTTAGAGAGCCTGACTACCATGGACAAGGCCCTGAGTTCCATCTCCAGAACCATAAAAAAAAAAAACAAAAAATGAGGGGATTTAGCCTCCACTAATAGACACTCACTGCCACACATCCGTCCCCCTCCAGAGGGACTATCTCTTACCCAAAATGCTTGTGACCAGAAGTCAGTCAGATTTCAATTTTTTAAAAATACTTACATAGACATTGCACGTTGTACATTGGTAATCTGAAAATCCAAACTTTATTAGCGTTTTAAAGTTAAATATCAGATTTTCAGATTAAGGTTGTTTTAACCTGCACTGCTTGCTGTGGTCCAGAGGTTTCTTTCTGTTAGCCTCTTCGGTGTGGTACCACCTTTATTCTTTAGAGTTGCTAAAATCTGCAGGTTTTCTATATGTAGAAGTGATTATACTTGATTTAAATTACTACTTAGTTTTAAAGTTGTAAAATTATAAGCCTATTTTGAAAGCTTTAAATTCATAAATCTTGTTCCATTTATAAGTCAGATAATTATTTCAAAAGAACCAATCTTGTCTTTGGCAGATAACCATCTCCTAAATGGTCAGCCTTACGTATAAAGTTTAATAATTTAGTTATCTTCAGTGCTTAAAATGTCATACACTTAAGATATATTCCCCAAAAGCACTTCAAACATCTTGAAAGTAAAACATTTAGTTGAATATGTAGAATATGGGTTGCACTAAATACTCAGACACTGCACAGAAAATCACACTGTCCTAAACCTTTTTAATTAAATATATAATTCTGATATCAAAAACTTATAGCATAACCACGGATTCTTGAGATTTTTACCTTTTTTTTTTTTTTTTCCCTGAAGAGGTCTCAAATTGAAAACTTGAGATCATCCACCATCATACCTTTCCTTCATAACTGGCTTTGTTGGATTGTAGTCAGCTGTGAACCACTCTCGGAACAACACAGAATTCCAGTCTATCAGCAGCTTCACTGTCCCATACACCTCAGTGTTGTTACATACATAAATAACGCACATGTAGATTATCACATGTTCACAATCACTGTAAAATCTGTCCATAAATATAACACAAGAACAAAAATAATCTGAATTTTGTTTGCCTTGTGTGTAAATTTATTTCTGCATCTTCTTGGGTTATAAAGTTACTGAGTTTCCAAGGAGAGAATATTTACCCTTTTGGCTGAGTTTGATTGTCAGGTAGATTGTTTTGGACCATGATTTGGCTATGAGTTATTTAATAGAAAGCTTAAGAACCTTTCCAGGATACTTTTGCCCAAAACACAGATTAGCATGTTAAACCCTTCAAATAATAAAGCAGATTTTCAAGTCAAGCTTCTTATTGTACTAAGAAGATAAGCCTGTATTAGGTATAGATTTTTATACAAGAACTTACATGTAATCCTTGCAGAAATGCTAAGTGGTACAACCACTTTGGAAATTGGATAAGCCGCTTCTTATAAAGCTAAGTGCATTCTTAGCAAAGACCCTGGTAGTTCTAAGCCTTGACATTTACTCAAGAGAAGTGAAGGCTTTGTTCATGAGACTCGTGCATGCGTGTTCTGTGAACATCAATAATAGCCAAAAGCTGGCAATAACCCAGATGTCTATCAGCTGGTGAACTGATCATCAGTCAGTAAAATACCCGTATAATGGATCATTACTCAGCAATTAAAAAAGAATGTTCGAACTACAAATACATACTGCAACAAAATGGATAAATAGCAAGCTTTATACAAATCCAAAATAATTGTCCAGTTATGTCTCATTCAGGTTTATAAATTTCTGGAAAAGCAAGACTGATGTGCAGTGTCTGAAAGATAACAATTTAAATAAGTTTTTAAAGCCTTGTTTCTTTTATTGTGAGTCACATCATGACTTTAATTTTCATGATGGCTTTAAATTGATGATAGTCTGCATTCCTGTCTGGATAGTAGCTAAGCTCTTTTCTGCCTGACTGAATTCCGCTTCCTCCCTGTTGCTTTTTTACCTGGCTCATCAACTACCATTGTGTAGTCATTTCATAAGTGTTTTCATTAAGATAAACATCATTTTTTGCTCAAAATAAAACTTTCAAAATGTTATTTTTGAAGTTAACTACTTATGTGATGCTTATAATCTTTGAGATTACGAACACCAGGTGTACTAACCTTAGACTCCAAATTGTGCTTTTTAAAGTTTATTTATTTTTCATTTGCCAGAATGCACCAGTGGATGTTGGCATCATGGTTTCTAAGCTGCTTTTGACCATACAGTTATGTCCAAAAACAGAATTCCAGTGCAGTGAGAAATACGGTGAAGACCTAAGTGATAACACTTGGGAATACATATTTGCCATTGATCTGCTCTGCTGCCATCAGAAGTGGATTTGGACACATGATAACATCATAAGGTTAGCTATTTTTCTCACTTACAGTGAAGATGGGTTCTGTTAATTGTAAGACAGTCTGTTGAATGGCGAATTATGGTTTGAATCATATTTTTTTAACACAAGGCACTTGAAACATTTACAGATAACTTTTTATTATTTGGATGAGAGTTAGTAAATCTACCCTTGAACTATCTGTGCTTTATTATCCTTTTTTTTAAATCTCTTTCCAGAAGAAATGACTCCCAGGAAGGGGACTTGGGTTCTCTGATGTATCCTCAACATGTAGAACAGTGCCCACCCAAATGGGTGCTCAGTAAATAAGTGTCAGGGTCATTGTCTTAACATAGCGACAGAAGTACTGAAAGTCACAGGTTGACAGCTTTCCACTTAGGAGAGAATTAAACCCCGTGCCTCATCCTTCCCTTATATGTAATGAGTTAACTTTTCTCTGTGCATCTGTAACTCTGGTACTAGTTGTGTACCACTTCTGCAAGAATGTCTTAATTTTTTTGCAGATCCCTGGCTGAGAAAGGCTGGCTTAGGAGTTTATGATATTAAGAAGTATTCATTAAAGGGTTGATAAACCATGTTCTTGAAATGCTTGAAGAATATATTCTGCAGAAACTACCTTTGCAAGGTCTTGTCTGTATATGCTCTTTTGCCCCCAACCCCCAACACTAGGGAAGACTAGACATCCAAATGTCAAAAAGCCACATCTCTGTATAGAATGAGATTTAGCTATAATAAAATGTATAGATATAAATAAATTTTTATTTTTGTGTACTGATATGGAAGAGAATTTTACAGTTACTAAATAAGAAAATGACAAAGTCATGTGTCCCTTGCCTGTCTGTGTGGATGGGAGGGCCTATCTGCCTGTCTGTGTGTACCTCCTCTCACAGATTGCTCACGGGAGCCCAGTAGGCAGGACCCTTCTATCCACAGTTACGCATCAAGGGACCAGTTGCACTGTCAGTCTGTGTCGGTGAACCTCCCAGTAGCAGTGAGAGTAGGTAGAATATTGGGATCTCTAATGAATAGCTCCAGACCCTGCCTCTTAGCACGTTGGGGGCTCTCAGCCTGTTGTTCACATGCATAAAGAACAAGATGTGTCTGGAAAGCAAGGCCAAAATTAGAAGAATGATGGTTATCTGAAACTGGGCTTTTGGAATGCCTTTTTTTTCCCCATTTTTCTTTTATTTGTGCATAATATTTTCAGTGATCTGATTATGAATATCAAGCAAGAGGTCAATACCTTTTTGAAAAAAGAATGGAAAGAAGAATTGGCATGGGTTTCAGTTTATAGAAAGTTTCTTTTATCCATCTAAAGTGTGCCGTGGTTGTTGACATTAGTGTCTCTCTGACTTCGCTCTTTTAATACTTGTGGGCTTCAGGAACTCAGTCTGCCTTAGTGCCTGGAGGCTGCAAGGGAAAATCCGGACTCAGTCTCTTCCTAGTTCTATGACTTTGGGGACAGTTAAAACAAAATAATGGTGCAGATATTTGTAGCCGCTAGTGTGAACACAAATACTCTGAGTAGCTGGATGAGATGTGAGTTTTCATTGTTTACTCTGATTCTAGTTAAAATTGTAGCTTCTCAGCACTTACTGCTTCTTCATTTGTGTCGATGGACTGTGCATAAGATCAGTTATGGTTTGAGCATTGATGGGTGTGCATCTTTTCATGTTGTTTTATAGTAAGGAGCTATGGCCTGTAATGGATAAGTGGATAAAACACAGAAAAGGTCATGCGAACATTGCGTATACTCCTGATGTTATTATAGCATCCATACTGAGACTGATTGGTGAGTTGTTCTTCATTGTTTTTTTTTTCTTGTTATTAATTGTATCTTGATGGGGGATAAGTATATATACTAATAGGTGCTGACTTTGAAGCTTCACCATAGTGACTGGTTTTACAGTAGTCAGAGTAAGTAAGTTTCTGCTTCATCTGCCTTCCTGCTCATACTCTTCTTATAAACTACTGTTTTATCCATTTTTGTCAGAAATGTACTAACATGTTTCATGTTAGTATGCCCCAAAGGCTAATATCAATACACGTGCACATTGGTGTACATAAATTGCTGTAACCTGTGCTACAGTTGATGCCTAAAACCAGGATATCTTCAAACCCTTAGCTAAAAAAGAAGGGAGAAGACCCAAATCAATAAAATTGTAGAAGAAAAGGTGAACATGGCACTGATGAAATCCAGAGGTTCGTTAGGGAATACTTACAAAACTTATATTCCAAAAATCTGGAAAAAAAAAAGGATAAATTTCTAGATGTACTTGTCCTGCCAAAATTGAACCAAGAGGATATAAACTATTTAAACAGACATTTAACAAGCAAAGAGATTGAAGCACTAAAAGATTCTCCCAACAAAGAAGAGCTCAGGACCAGGAAGATTCACTGCCGAATTCTATCAAACCTGAGCACAAAAACAATGAAGGTATCTTAATACTGGGCTTTAAGATATACTACAGAGCCATAGTTACTATTTCACTGCAGTCCGCTGATCTGCCTTGCATGATGAAACATCCATTTGCTCATTTATGATTTTGTAACCTGCATTGGTTACTTCAGAAATAATCAATTCAGACACATCTTCCAAGTGTCAACCATAGCAAATAGACAAAAACACTTAATATCACCAGTCTCCTCACAGGTGAGTCTTAAGCTTTGCGGAACTGTCAAGCTCAGGGTAGCTGAAGGAGGTTATTTCGATGTAAACTCAGACTTTTCTGTTATGGAAAATTTTTTTTTCTCTAGTCCTGGGATTTGAACTCAGGTCCTACACCTTGAACCACTCCACCAGCCCTTTCTTGTGAAAGGTTTCTTTTTTTAAGATAGGGTCTTAGGAACTGTTTCCCCAGCCTGGCTTTGAAGTGTGGTCCTCCTGATCTCTGCCTCTTGAGTAGCTAAGATTATAGGTGTGAGCCACTGGCACCTGGCTAGAAAATTTTCTTACATACTTTCTTTGTTTTGTTTTGCCTCTTAAAATGGACTGTTGCTTGTAGTTTGTGTTATAATTAGTTTTAGTTGTTTCTATAACGAAACTAGTATAGTTTCTGTATTATAGTAGCTATTTCTTTTTAGTAGTTTCATTTAATATCCATAATATCTGCCCAAAATTCTGATTTTTGTTTAACAGCTCAAATGTTGTCAGTGGTCACAATTATAACTTTCCTTGAAGTTAACAGCTCTCTTTGTTAAGTTGTGAGAATGTTCTGCCTTTTTCAAATAACCACAGTTTCTCGGTTCTTTGAAAGAAAGGGACGTTCTATGGGAACTTACAGCACACACGCCTGCATGTGTGTTTTTCTTCACAATAGCTAATGTGCTTGGATGTACAGGAAGTGTTTGGCATGTGATTTCAGTGTGGGGGACCCAGTGTCACAAAGTTGTATGCTTAGGGAACCAGATTTAATGAGAATTGTTGTGACTGCTTTATCAAGGACATTTTTAAGTGAAATTTGGGTTTTGGCTGCAAGCAGCTGGCAATGAAGAATGGCTCCCATACAGCCAGATCTTCATCCTGTAGTCCCTGCAGTGGTTGATCTGCTATTGCCTTATACCACCAGTCCCCTCTGAGCTCTGGGCAGGAGGCACAGAGCTTCTTAGCATTGGTGTGAGGTCCTTCTGACTTGAGGACTCCAGAGTTTCAGCTCAACTGGAGAAGTACTGCACTGTGTGGTACCAAGGGTGTTAAACCAAAATAGTGTTGATTGGACTGCAGTCTTAAATTTGTTCTGTTAACCTGATAGAAGTTAGCTATCTCAAATTTGGCCTGCAGAAACCACCTTCTCCTCTAAATTTTATTTATTGTGTTGTAGCTTCACTGAAAAAGCAGCAAGTTGTGCCTCACAGGTATATGTGAATAAGGGATGATTAGCTCTTTTGATTACATGTCCTGGAAGACTAATGGCGTTGTATTACATCCTGATGCTTTGCTGTTTAACCTGTTTTCACTGAAGAATAGGTACCCCTTTTAACTTCAGTTCAGGAAACACAAATTTACAATTCTTATGAAAAGCTAACATTTCACCAAATAACTGTTTATATTTTGTTTTCGTTTCCCCTAGGTCGCTTAGGCCAATTGGGTTTGAAAGAAGGATTTCCAACTGCTGTGAAAAATATTAGTTCAGTTATTGGTATGTTTATACAGCATGCTCAGGATGAAGGTAAAATTCTTATTTTATTAGTTGCTTTCATATCACTTGATTTTCTCTGTGAAACCTTTTTTTTTTTTTGGAGTCTTTACTGTGTGCTGAGTTCTGTGCTTCTCTTCTTCTACATAGGAGATGTGAGCCTGGTGCCTGTGTGTGTGTGCATGTGTGCGTGTGTGTTTCTGGCGTGGTGTGGTTTGCTTTTATTGAAGTGCGGTAGTTCACCCTGTTGGGCAATGCTTCTCTTCTCTCCCTGTCGCTGGCATTCTGTCCCGTGCCCTGTCTGCCTCGGGACTTAGCCCTGGCTGTCCACATGGCCTCCTCTAGTGCTGTGTGCTGAGCTTGTGAGGCAGTGCTGTGCAGAGAGGTGTGTGCTCAGTATCAGGAGAGGACTGGAGATCTGGAAGCCGAGCAGGTGTCCATGGTGGAGTTCTTGTTATCATTGATGTTTTGCGTAATGTGATTTACATCCTGCTCTTTTGTGGGAAAAGCTTAACTCAAAGCAACCCTTGTAAGTGATGAGTCTAGTTTCTTCTTAGCATATTGTGCAATCAAGGATTGGTGTAGTTAAACAGCTCCTCGCCAGAAATGCATAAAGTGACATCTTAAACACTGCATGACACCCAAGCTAATCTTAACAGGGTAGGTCTTTTGTCTTCAGCTTTCAGTGGGAGACTTGATGTGCCAGGCTTATGGAGAACAGCCTGAACCTGTTTTCTCTTAGGTACCTTCTTTGACTTAGAATAGCTGCCAAGCTGGTGCCCATTTCTTCCTTATGAAAATGTGCCCTGTTACAGTCATGAGTGAATACTGACATAAAATATAGTAGCCATCAATCCAGACTTACTGTTGCTGAGGTGGGTGTGACCTAGAAGCTATGTGTACAGTCTTCCTCCTGGTGAAGAACTGGGAGCCATAGGTTAGATGCTTCATGGCACAGCCCCACAGCGTAACGTGGGATCCCAGACCAGCACATCTCAGGATGGCACCTTCTTATTGCATACACTAATCCCCAGAGGGAAGAGTGACTAGCTCAGGATAAGAAGCCAGGAATTGCCCTGCCTGCCCCATGTGTCCAGGTCTGTCTGACTGCTGAGCATAAGCTCCCAGAACAGTCCCACACGTTTTTCAACTTTAAACATTTTTTTCTCACTGTCAAACATTTGTGTGAGTTGTGGCCATGCACAATATTATAATATTATCAAAATATTATATAAAGTTACCTTCGGGCTGTGGGTACAAGGTATATATGAAATGTATGTGAATTTCATGTTTAGACCTGAGTTCCATCCCTGAGATGTAAGTGATAATATTCTGAAATCTGAAATAATGAGAAACACTTCAGGTCCCAGGCCTTTTGGGTGTGGGACACTCAATGTGGAATACTAGCCTGCCCTATTGGGCAATGCCTCACTCACAGAAAACTGAAGCAGAGCTAACAATAAACTTTAACACCTCACTTCAGTAAATTAAGTATTGAGTTAACTTAATTTAACTCCTAAATAAACTCCCAGTAGAAGGGAAAGGGAATTACATACTGTAATTTCTAAACTACCTATTATCTAAAATCATAAGCTGCAATCTGGGGTGTGGTGAGGCGGCACAAGAGCAGGTATTTATTTTGCCCCACTGTATTTTCACGGCCAAAGTCTGTTTATAAGCATTTGTGGTACATATTCTAACAGTCTCGTATCTGACAGCATTGTGGGATCCCCATTTTCTTAAGACCTCCCTTTGTGAGAGTGACCCTACCAACACTGCCCTGGGCAGAGGGACTCACAGGCTCTCCTTCGCTCTGACCACAGGCCTCGGGACACAGACACACCATCAGCTGCACAGAGCTGCCATCAGGCTTCTCTTCTTTTTCATCTGTAGAAAGGTCTTAAATGAGTTTTTTATTGTGGGATTTTTCTTTTGCATTTAATTTTCATTGCTGACAGAAAGTATTCTGTATTTGAATGGTATTCCTATAGATTACAACTTTAAAATTTTGAATAACATATTTTCTTGTTTGTTATGTTATGATTGACTCAAAAATTCTTTTCAGATATCCCATGGGGTATACAGTTAGCAGCTGTATATGCTCTCTGTGACTTGAGTCCCAGTAATCCAGCAGAAATATCCAAGATCCTGGAAGCTTGGCGGAGAGAGACCTCCAATAGCATCCCATCTGCAATCATTAGTTGCCTGGAAGAGGTCGGCTCCCTGAGTGCAGAGTGTGCAGCTGACAGGGGTGGGCACTGGGAGAGAGAAGTGCCTTGACACTTTTGATAGCACAGAATATCTGCCTTTGGAATACAGACTAAGGTCCAACAGAGGAAGGCATAAGATCCATCAAATGACAGGAGCCCTCCTTGGCGTTTGACAAAGATGTGGGAGAAGCAAGCAGTTACATATTGTCTTTTTTCCTAAACCACATACATTTCAGTTATGGCTGTTGCAGTCATGTGACGTATGGATTGTATTGTGTCTTGGTCAAACAACAAAAACTTGAATTTAGCCCTTTTTTTGCTGCAGAAAGTGTCCTTTTAGTGGCTTCTAAAAGTTGAGTGGCATTTTATAATGAACTTAGCAGTATAAAAACATGATCTGGTTCCTGAGTATTTTTTAACTTTATGCTCAAATGAGTGACTAGAAAAAATAAGTTGGCTCAAAAAAAGAGCTAGAAGAGTCTCCTGCTGTCTTAGCTGGAAATGGGCTGCAAAGGTTTCCTCGTGATGTAGTGCATAGTTGACCAGAGTAAAACACCGAAAGCCGTTAGCAGAAACTCACTTTAATGCATTTTCTTCATGTATCTAAAGTTCCTTAAGAACATCTAACTGTGTATCAGGAAGAGCGGTGAACAGCAGGTGTTCCCTGGCAGGCTTCTGCATCAACAACCTGTATATTAGTGCTTCAGAGATGAGCGCAGGCAGAGCTCTGTGTGCTGTGTGCATGCGGACCGGGCTACGATGTGTCTCCCATTGGATGATATTCCACTTTCGGAATTTTAGTATTTGTATATAGAAAATGGGTTTAATAACTCACCGTGACTCTGATTTGTCTTACAGTCATCATTTCTTAAAACTCTTGTATGTGTTTTTTATAATAAAAAATAAAAATAAGCCATGCACACTATTCTGATTGGCAAAGTGTGATACTTGGTGTTATTCTGTACCAAAGATGAAGAAATACTGTAACCAAAGCTAGAGGGAAGTGGCCATTCCTCAGCAGACCCACCTTCTGGTGACATAAACATGTGGGTGCTACATAGTCACTGAAATAGATGCTCTCCAGTGATCCACACACTGGTGAGTCCTGACTGGTCCTCACAATTGGATTTGTTGTTTTTCTCTAACTACTGCCTTTTTAAAATTACATTTGATGCTTATATTTTGGTTGTCCTTCCTGTTTTCCTAGGTACTACCACAGAGCTAATTGAAATTGGTGAATAACTTCACGGGGCCCCTTTGGAAGCTCTTTGTTGGTGTGATAATTCTTTCCACCAGTGTGTATGGAGCATGTCTTCTCTGCCTTGTGCCTTGTTGGGAAGGCCTGCTCACAAGGCAGTCGAGAGCCAGGTTCTCAAGGAGCTGTGATATGGGTAGAAAGACCCCTAGAAAAGTCATTACCCAGCAAATGCAGCATTAACAGCTCTGGGGAGTGCAGTGAAGAAATCATGGGTGTTGGTCAAGGACATCTCTGAGGAGGTGATGCTAGGGAGGGCCTGGAAGGAGGGAGCTAGCCTAGAATGCAAGGAGGAGAAGTGTCCATGTTGGACAGGGGAGGATGGCTCAGTGAGGAAATTGCCTTACTAAGTACCAGGATGGAAGCTACTGGGGCCAAAACATGGGATGTCCATGAGATACTGGTAGACAGGATCCTACCCATCACTTAGGACGTAGACAGCTGGTTCCAGTTGGGGCATGTTCATGCTAAGTGGAGCCCAGGATTCCTGGGGCATTTAAGCTAAGGTGTCACCCGAGGTTGCTGTTCACAGGCAAGGCTACTGGGCCAGGCACCTGGGGTTGGAAACAGGGCACAGATTTGGTGGCAGCAAGAACCACAAATTCCAAGCTTTCCATTTGCCATGGGAGCCATGGGACATCCAGGCGTTGGTGGTAAAATTCTGCAGGACGATCAGGATACACATTGGAAATTGATAGGTTATGGAGGCTACCACTGTTTGTGTTTTGTTTTGTGTGTGTGGCCACCTAGGTAGAGAAATAACTTCTTTCAGGTCCCCCTGTAGTTTACATTTGTGCAAGAGAGGGTAGAAGAGGACGGAAGGCAAGGCAGCAGGTCACAGTGGGGTTAGAATCCAGGTGCTGTCTCTGTGTTGGGCATCAGGGCAGCTCTGTCTGCCAGGTAAGGAGAGGGGCCGTCAGGTGGGAGTGACCTGGGTGAGCTCTTCCCAGTAATAATGGCCATGCCAAGATGGCGATCAGTACTGGTGAGGAACAGGAAAGGAGGAGCAGCCACTGACAGGTGGGGGATTTTGCACTTGTGTGGGTTTGTCAGGTAGTTCAGAAGGTTTGACCTCAGTGTGGGGTTTTTAATGGACACACTGACATTTTGTGCTGTTTGGTCGCAGTGTTAACTCCTCACTGCCACACCTTTGACCATGACATTCGCTTTGGACACTGTTAATAAATAGGTCTGACATTGTACGTGCTGCTGTGGCCTTAAGTTCACTGAACCAAAAAGTGAAGGAACACTTAAAATCGGGGTGGGAGGCTGAATTAGGGGTCTGCAGACCTATACAGGTGCTGGGCCGCTCACCACGTGGGGTCCCTGTGCTAGCTGTTCACAGAGCTAATTGAAATTGATTAATAACTTCACGGAGCCCCTTTGGAAGCTCTTTTTTGGTGTGATAATTCTTTCCACCAGTGTGGAAAGACTTCTCTGCCTTGTGCCTAGCAGTGCAGGCTGACCTGGGAATAGCAGCAGGCTGGACTGCCGCACCAAGCCATTCTTGGATCCATGCAGGATGGCCTCGGAGATATGGATTGGGCCCAGCAAAGAGGATGAGGAGGTGGGGAACAGATAGGGGGCAGAATATTTTTTTTTCCTGAATCTTTTTATTATTACGATTACTGATTTCTACTAACTGTATAAAAACAAAAATCAGTAGTAGTCAATGCCCGTGCTCCTTCCTATGGAATTCCTGGCTTTGTACCCAGGTACAAATCAGCCTGCATGTGTTGAGATGAGTCAATTCAGATTGTGACTCCCTGTACACACAGTACTTTGTCCAGTTGCTTAGTTTGTCTTTGAAGGTATGATGTGGTCATATAACTCAGCAAATTTAGTTGTAAGCAGAATGTGCCTGTGGTAATGGGACGGATTGCTCTGTGGCCACCAGAGGGTGCTGCAGACCTGCCTCCAGCAGAGTGTGGTACTGTCCCTGAAAAGTAGGTTGTTCCAACCTGTCCCTCTGGAAAGCACTGGTCCCTGCTATTTAGGGTGCTGGCTTCACTGCTGAAGCCATTATTTCTAGGTTAAATGGGTGGAACGATAACGTGAAATTAAAGTTGAGAGAGTATGTCAAAAAAGAAGAAACAAGTAAGTACTCTGCCTGTTTGGTCAAATTCTGTTCTGGTGCTTTTTTTTTTTTTAAAGTGATACCAAAGAAAAATGCTTTAACAACAACAAAAAACTGTCCAGGTGGGTTACTGGCAGTAACAGTGACTGCTGGTGATTCTAACAAACTCATCGTTGCTGGCTAAACCACCCTGACCACAGAGAACATAGCAATCCTTATAAAAATCCTTGGCACATTCTCTGTGGCACCTTCTTGTACAGGATTTGTGGTGTGAATGGACTTATGACGTGAATTTAACCACCTTCAGAAGACTAAAAAGGCAGCGAAGGCTTGAATGAGGAAGCTCTAGAGGTTCAGGAGAGTTTCCAAAGTCAGAGCCACCAAGCTTACACCAATTTTTGCTTCCTTGCACTCACCTGACACTTGCTCAAGGAAATTCACGCATGTGCTTGTGAAGTACGCTGGGAGTGCTGCTTTTTAGCCCGCTTAACTAAATTTTAAGAAAAACCTAATTTCATGTCAAGACATTGCCATCTTGATATTCCTTAGCATTTCTGTGACTTAGGCCTCTGTAGCTTTGTAGTTGCTTTGGCACAGTGGAGTCAGCTCAGATCATAAAGAGCATTGTGAGTGAACAGCCAGGTAAGGTGGTACAGTCCAGTTGTGTGGAAATGAACATGTCCACTGGCTTTTGCAAAGGACTTTGTTTCCTAAGAACATTAGGAACTCAGGCAGACATGGCTCAGGGCCGGCTGTGTGCCTTATCATCCAGGTGCTAGTATTCACCCTGGGAGCCCAACCTTCCCCCAAGCTGTCCTCTAGTTTTCCTGCTGGGAATGAGCAGTATGGCTGCCCAGCACCTTCCCTGGGCCTCTCTACAGGGAGGAGAGGCCAGGTGACTGTTCCCTAGGTGAGAGCTCACAAGTGCTTGCCCTGTTAGAAATGCACGCAGGGTCCTCATCAAATCTGCTGAACCCAGAGTTCTGGGGGTGCTGCAGGTGATGTGATCCTCCCAAAGTTTGGGGGCCACTGCTCTTTAGGCATGCCAGTCCACCCGGCCCTGCTCCAGGCACCTGCCCACACCTGCCCAGAGGGGTCACATCTCTGCTGTTCAGATGGCTTCTTCCGGTGCCCCCTTAATCTATTTCACTGGAACTTTGTGAAGACAGGGAAAGCATGTTAGCTTCTCCATCTTGAGCTGAATCCTAGCAGTTTTACTTTTTTTCTGTAGTGTTTAAGAATATTCTTTTTTCTTTCTTAGTCATTTGCTATTTTGAGGCAGCTTGATCCTAAATCTCAAGTGTACGACTGTCAAAACTCAAAAGCAATGAAGGGCTGAAAATAGAAAACTTTAACTACCACAGCTCCAATCAGAAACTGCCCCTCATGAGTATTTTTTGCATATATTAATTTGTGTCACTATATGCCTTTTTATTTAATTTGTAACAGGATGTACACTGTTCATTCTGTATTACTGTATATGAGTACCAAGTTAAACACGGAAGCAGACATACACTGATATGGCCCTGGCCTTGGGATGCACAGGTGGTGCTGGTGTAGGGCTGCCCTCAGAAGTCCAGGGCTGGTGTGCTGGTGTTTACTATGTCCTCATCACCCACTCTTCCACCTTCCCACTCCATCTAATCATCCCAGCGGTACTAACAACCCCGTTCTTACGGGGTCCTTTGTGCCTGTTCCTCTATTGAAAAGTTGTCTCCTGGGGTGGAAGCTGGTCTTGTCACAGACTGCTGAGGGAGATTCTCTGATTATGTGGAGGAGTTAGTGGCCCTCAGAAGCCAAGGGTGCTGGGAAGCCAGGTCTGGAGGTTGTCAGTGTGGTCCTGACCTCAGGAGTTTTAGAGACGAGATTCCACTGTCCCTATTGCCTTCTTCTCCCCAAAGAAGAAAAATGATGCCCTGACTGGGGAGTCATAAGTCTGGTCTTCTGTTTGTCTCCCAGGGACTCAGCCCTCCTCCACCAAAGGTGGACTCCCCTTCCTACAAAGCCCCAGTGAGGTGTCACTCAGCACGCAGCATGTGATCAGGTCTGATCCCCATTGTCACCTGGCCTTCACCCTAGATCGCTTTCATACTTGCCCTCCACACTTGGGTAGACATGTGTGTCATGATTCTCTGATGTCCAAGCCAATAATAGAGTCTTAAAATCAACCTTGATAGAAATGTGACAAAACCTGAAACAAAGCAACTGTTTTGACTTTTTAGTCATAATCACATTTAAAATTTTGTCGAATTAAAAAAAAGCTAGAAATGTTGCTAGTGTGGTGTTGAGAGGCAAGGCACACACTTGTGATGTGCGGGTGGGCCTGAGCTACAGGCTTTCTGTCCATACTCTTGCTTGCCCATGTTGGCACAGGCCTTCTGATTGTGTGGATGATGGGAGATACTGAGGTTGACAAGATCAAAACTGAAGGAAGGGGAGAAGGAGAAAACAACAGGTGCAAGTACCCCTACCGACCTCACCCCCTCACCCACCTCACCTCTCCCAGCAGGTCCCTCTTTTCGCTGTCCAGCACCGGCTCCACATGACATGGGGAAACGCCACCTTATCTCCAATGGGTAACGG